TGCCACCGAGGCGTACTTTGGCGAGGGCAAGACGTTTTTCCCCGAGGCCGTCGTCGTGTTCCGCGTCGAGGCGGGCCAGCACTACCACGTGCCGCTGCTGCTGAGCCCGTTTACGTTTACGACGTACCGCGGAAGCTAGGGGGGGGGAGAGATGGAGGATGAGCAACGGGGAGAGAAAAAACAATAGAAAAACGAGGCAGGTTCTTGAGAGAAGATGGCAAATTTGAAAAAGTTATAAATCATCTATGAAACAAGGAAGAAAAAAATGGCTTGGCATCGAAGTAGCCGCTGATGCGGGTAGACAAAGCAGCGCTGTTCTTTTTCGGCGTACGCTGTGAACCGCCTAGTGAAAAGAAGAAAGGGAGCCCAACTCCGGCGCTGATGAAACAAGGATGCAGTGAAGATATTAACAAAGTGAAGCATAAAGGTGCCGCAAAGCCGGCCAGGGGCTGACCATGGAATGGATGCTCTCGTCCGCGCCGGTTAGTGGTGTCGACGGAGCTTGCGAAAGAGGCCGCGCGACGACTTTGTCGAGACGTCATCCGGGGACGTCGGGGGCGTCTCGTCGTCGTCGCGCCTCGTCGTGGCGAAGCTGTCCCTGTTGTGCTTGGAGACGGTCGGGCTCGGGGGCGTCTCGACGATGGAGGGCTGGGAGCAGGGGCGCGGCTGGATGCTGCTGCTTCGGCTGCGGCTCTGGCGCCGCATGGTGCTACTGCTTCGGCTGCGGCTCTGGGGCAGCATGGTGCTGCTGCTGCCGGCGGCGGCGGCCGAAGGTGTGAGCGAGACGACGCTAGCGCTCGCCGGGACGATGCCGTGGCTGAGCGTCTTCTTGGGCTTCTTGGCGCGGTGCAGGAAGGACATGCCGCGACGCTTCATGACGAGGTCGGCGTGGATGTCGTCCTGGCCGATGCAAGCGTTGGGGGACAGGTCGGCGTCGGGGTGAGGCAGGGTCGTGTTGCGAACTGGTAGTTTGTTGATTAGCTGCTCGTCCTTTTTTTTTGATAAAAAGTATAGTCGGGTTTTCTGGCTATGGGATTGGGGCATCATACGTGCGGCAAACGGCTCTGGGAAGCCAGTGTCTCGTGGCTGGCGAGCCGTGCGGACAGAGCCGGAGGGAGGCATTGGCTGCGGAATGTAGTTGTTGGAATGAGAAATGCAATGGACAAATCAAGTTTCTCTGCGGCGCTCCCTTAGATGCAAAAGCACCTGTTGATTTTTATGTGAGCGCCCGTAGTGCGAGGCAAGTCGTGCGGTAATGGATGTGGTGGGCAGAAGGCCTGTGGTGGGTGAGCGATGGGGGCGCTCGCGGCGCACTAAATCTGCCCGTTTTGAGAAAGGATTCTTTTCGCAGAAAAATACCGCCGAGACAAAAGAAGGAGAGACGGGTGGCTTCGCCTTTTTATTTCGTAATATGAAATAAAACAAAAAGAGGCGCTCGGGCAGTCCGAACAAGAGTGGCAGGGCTGTGCTTGGTAAACGGAGGCACTCGTGCGCAGATTTGCCGCTTTGTGTAATACTTCCTTCGTAATAACTCGGATGTCGGCCAGAAAAGTAGGGGGTGTGGCTCTTTTTGTTTTTGTAAGTCCTTTTGGATCGACGTGGAACTGTTGGGACGCTTGGTTCGTCAAGCGAGATGACGACGCAGGCTGAGTCGAGTCTAGGCTGCCAGTTGTACGTTTAGGCCGACACTGATGGGATGATGTGTGTATATCAAGTTGTTGACCGAGGGAGTCGTAGGCAAAAGATGGGTAGAAAAAAGAAGAGGAGGATGAAGAGATGAAAAATGAAAAAATGAAAAAAGAGGAAAGAAAAAAGATGTCGCCGTTTGTTGAGAAAGGGGCCATCATCTTCCAATATCGTGCCGATTTCCCGGGGTCATGGCAAGACTGGTGGGGAAAACGTCATCGTCGCTGGCATCGGAGCCACGGCATCCATACAAAGGGGTCGAAGAGAGACTGCCTGGCACCAGACCCACGATCATCCTGGCGCTTACCAGTATTCATCGTATGAGCATCTGCATGAAACTAGACCGACGGCCCATGGCGACAGGGAAAAATGGCCGCAATCTCGGGGTCGCACCTAGTAGGTAGGTACGTAGGTAGGTATGGGGCGAGGCCCTTGTCGAGCTGGCATCAGACAACGCCGAGGCCACTGTCATTGTCAGGACTTGAGAAACGAGAAACGACTGTTCGAAAAACATGACCCGGAAGAATGGATATACCGATGGTGTAATTTGTCCACATTACAGATGGTTGCGGTCAATTCGCCGCCCTACAAGGCACAAGGCTACCAGTCCTGTACCGCCCGTCTCTACCCATGTATGTACCTGCCTTCATAAGCTACCTACTATACCAACCTACCTAGGTACCTTGCGCGAGCGGGAACATGTTAGGAGCCCTCTACAATGAGCCCCGAATATTACAACACCATTTTCTACAATATGTTTAAAATTAAAAATGGCGCCAATATGCCAAAAAAAACATGTTTAGATAAAAAATCCTGCTCAAGCCATCTCAGAAAACAGCCCTGCGCCCCTAGGCACCTACCTACTAGGCACCTTCTCTTTCTTCACCAACGGCAAGCTGCCACATGGTCCTTTTCCCTGCGCCCCAAGCCTCCGACGATCCTCGTCCATAGTTGGCAGGTATTATCATTTTCGCCTTGCACATTCACTGTCGCAGTCATCCTTCTGCTACTCGCAAGGTAACAGAAAACAGAAAGGCAGACACAATGTACTACCTAGGTATGTACATAGTAATCACGTACGGAGTCATTTGTAGTCGCTTGCCCCTGCCGAGTCGCCCATCACAGTCAATTCTCCGCCTACCGATCAGATCGACTGCGGGAAAATCTCTCCGCCATTATCCCTCACCCCATAAGCCAACAGCAGAAATCCGTACCTGTAGAGTTTCAACGCCCCGGACAGGAACTGCTACTGTGACAGTGTCAAGTGTTACGCACAACAAACCGGTGGCCTGCTGAAAGAACCTGCTCCAAGGCAACTGTCGAATACATTTCCCTATGGCCACAGTCACCTCAAATACTGCACAATGAACTCGGGTTGCACATCATGTTGTCAGTCATCATCCAGGATCGTGATTCGAACCTACTGCTTAGTATCTTGACTGCTCGACTGGTTACACCACTCGACATTCACCACCATATGTCTGCCCTTTGTCGGGTTGGCATTCGCTCATATAAATATCCTTGAGTCTACCGCCATGAGCTTCATCAAAAAACTTCACTTCCCTTCCTCAGAACCTTCTGGCCACGAGCTCCAACAAAAAAAACTTACAACAAGCTCTCTATCGTGGCACAACAGGCAACCCTCTTGTCAACACCTTCGATAAAAGGCCGACCAACACACCTCCCTACTACTCTACAAAGATTGAAAACCGCAACATCACCCGCCCGAAAATGTGCAGACTTTTCAAAACGATCCACCAGTACGCCCAGTGTCCGCCGCAATGCCAAGTCTATGATTATCAGACCGTCACCTTGGGTTGCCCAGTGTTCGCAAGTACGAGGCGGCCATGCCCCAGACCGACACCCGTGGACTTTGGCAAGAAGAAGCGCCATGGCAAGTGTCCCGATCATCGTGGTCCACGATGATATCAAAAGAGGCTGGTCGCTCGCATGCTTGCTGCAATGCCGGGACCGAGTCGGATATCGCCGAGGGTTGGATGACAAGGCGCAGGATTTGCTGGGCTAATGGGTCTATTGATTGTACTTCTCTTACCATGGCTCAAATTACGAGAGAAACATCCCAATACACGAGGGAATAGCCCAATACACGAGGGAATAGCCCAATACACGAGGGAATAGCCCAATACACGAGGGAATAGCTCAATACACGAGGGAATAGCCCAATACACACGAGAATAGCTCAATACACAAGAGAATAGCTCTAGCTGACCTATATGCAACTTCAGATGTGTTTATTGCTGTAGATTATATTGCAGTAAAAAGGTGGGCCTATTCACATCGAGATACGTTTTACTATTTCCGCCAGAGCTGCTGCTCCAAGTACAACACTTCCGTCACACGGGCGCTAGACTGTTTTGTTTAAACCAGCTGTCAAGCTGTTATTCATTATATTTGTGTGCTACTTGCCGCCATGTAACACTCGACAGGTCGTCGCTGACCCGAATCTTGGTAGTCTGGTCAAGTGGACGTTAATACTCCATGCGGGGGGGCGTTGGAACTCGGCTAGAATTTGCCGTGGCAAGCCAGTCAAGGACTTGAAACTGGAGACTTGATGATGCAGGTAGTTCATGCAGGTGCTGCGCCTCACTGCGGGCCGCCGGAGCGACAAATGGACAAAGGGTTTTGCGCTGGGCCACGTTGAGACTCGGCCTGTCGAGCATGCGGGAGGCAAACCGGGAAAGAAGACGGGCAAGAGATCAAAAGCAGATCTTGGACCTTGCGAGTAGAGTAGTGTGCCGCTCGCACCAGTGAAGGGACTGGTGGAAGCTATGGAGGCCCAAGGCAGCGAGGTGTTCACTACTGTGATATAAGATACCGGGAGGTTCCAAGTAGATACAAAACCAAGCTATAGATAACGGGTAACACGTTTCGCCGCCTATTCGGTTGTATGTCAGCGTAGACGGGAATTTATGCGATGGGGAGGCTATTGCGAGACAAATAGCTCAATATGTATCTGGGAGATGATAGGATACGAGGTAAATGCAGCCAGTCCAGTCTTTGTCGCAGGAACGTCGCCGCTCTACCATACTTTGCGATGGCAGCGCATCAAAGACAGTCAATCAAGGAAATGGTCATAATTCGGCGCGCTATCTTGCATGAAAGTCGAGAATTCTCATACCTTTGGTAAGGGGAAGATTTGGGCCTCGAAAGCACCGCGATGTAAGGTACTAGACTGCTTCAAAATCACGTGTTTTCGTACCACCTTTGATTCATGCACCGCCACCACCGCCACAGGCCGCTCACTCCTGCCGCCTCGCCTGCACAGCCCCTTGGAACACGAACTTGGTGACACGCCTCTAATCGCCAACCGCCATTCCATCCCATCCCAAGTGTTATCTGCATCTGGCTTCGGGAGTTTTCCATCAGCGCCTCTAGATTGACGACGCACATCTCTCCCCGACTCCAGCTCCCCCGCCCACCTCGTCGGATCTCCCGACCATGTCCGACACTCCCCGCGACGTTGGTCAAGACGACCACCGCGACTCCAACGACTCCAACCCCCCCTCAAACGGACCAGAGAAGAAGAAGAGTCGCCGCCCAGCAAGTCAGTCACCCTGCGCGCGTACCGCCTGGAGAAAGCAAACGAACGCCGTCACAGAACAAGGAAAGCTGACATTTTTTCGTCGACGGCAGATACCGCGTTCCGGCAACAGCGATTAAAAGCATGGCAGTACGTTGCACTCTTTGGCGCCAACCTGATTGCGCATCAGGCGCGCCGCCTACGTTGCCACGGCAGACGTCTCTCGCTAACATCAAATACCCAGGCCGATTCTGACACCAAAGACGGTTCTGCCGCTCTTCTTTGCTATTGGAATCATATTTGCGCCGATTGGCGGTCTCCTTCTCTACGCCAACTCTCTTGTACGGATGCGCCGGGACACGTTTTGCTGCGATGCGCTGACTTGGGCTAACCAAAAACTCCTTTGCACAGGTCCAAGAGATTAAAATCGACTACACAAAGTGCATCGCCGAGGCTAAAGACGCCTTTGGCGACATGCCCACCAAGTATCTCGACGTGACCTTCAAGAATGGCAGCATCAACGACGTGCACCCACAGTGGCGCAAGGAAACCGGCGTCGCCGTCAACCTCAGCACCTCCGTCACCGTTAGCACCGACATCTGTCGCCTGCGCTTCAGCATCCCGGCCGACATGAAGCCACCCGTGCTCTTCTACTACCACCTCACCAACTTTTACCAGAATCACCGCCGCTACGTTGACTCATTTGACGCTGCGCAGCTCAACGGCGCCGCGCGCTCCTACAGCGAAATTGACTCGTCCAAGTGCACTCCTCTCAAGGTCAACACCACCTCCAACAAGCCCATCTTCCCCTGTGGCCTCATTGCCAACTCGATGTTCAACGACACCTTTTCCAGCCCGACGCTCTTGAACCCGCCGGGGTCTAACACCCCCCGCCTGTACGACATGAACAACAGCACCAACATTGCGTGGGCCAGCGACAAGGACCTCTACTCGACAACGAAATACACCTACGAAGAGGCCGTGCCTCCGCCTAACTGGCTCGCGCGGTACCCCAACGGCTACACGGCCGAGGATCCCCCCCCCAACCTTAAGAACTGGGAGGCCTTTCAGGTCTGGATGCGCACCGCCGCCCTGCCCGACTTTAGCAAGCTCTACCAGCGCAACGACGCCGATCCCATGGAAAAGGGCACGTACGAGATTGCCATTCACGACTGTAAGATGTGACACGATAATACATGGACACTTCACCTGCTAACGCGGCAATAGACTTCAAGGTGAGCGAGTTTGGTGGCACCAAGTCTGTCCTCATCACCACCCGCACAGTCATGGGCGGCCGCAACCCCTTCCTCGGCATCGCCTACATCGTCGTCGGCGGTGTCTGCATCATCCTCGGCGGCATCTTCACCGTCACTCACCTCATCAAGCCCCGCAAACTCGGCGACCACACCTACCTCTCGTGGAACAACACCCCAACCGCCAAGTCAGGCGGCAGTGGCGGCACCGCCGTGGCCTCGGGCCGCGAGGTACGCCCCGGGGAAGCCTAGACCGTTGGAACACCTTGTACAGATGATCGATTCTCCTCATCAGCAGCTGGTAGGCGGCTGAAGGATTCCTCGCACACTTGTTTTCTGGTCATGTGCGACCATGTCAACGTCCATTGTTTCATCATCATCATTACTAGCATCGTTGTTTCATTTTTTTTTACGGAATATTAGCTTTCTTTCTTCTCTCCGAGACGGATGAAATGAAACGGATGGATGAAAATATGAGTTGGAAGAGAGGCACGCCTTTGAGAGGACTCGTGCTTTGTGTCGTTTTGTTTTTTCTTGGGTCGGGAGTTTGATAAATTATACTTGCGCGCGTCGTTTTTTTCCCCCCTGTTCGAGACTACCCATTCTTTGCTTAGATTATCAAACAAGTTGGTTACAATGTATGACTACTCTTGCGCCGCGCCCGAGGCTTAGATACTTGGGAGATGGTGTCATTTTCCTTTTAACCTACCAACTCCGTGGATTTCTTTTTTGTATTAACCCCAAGCCAAAATACAGCAACAAATTGCCATGGGAAGACGAAAAAAACTTGAGAAAAAAAAAAGACTCTTAAAAACACAAAAGAAAAGCCATAGAGTAGCCCACTTGCTCTTCCGCTTCCCAAGAAAAACAAAAAAAAAATCGCCCATAGTACAATATACGCCACACCCAGCTTTTACTTTCGGCGCTTCTTGCTGGTGACACGCTCCTCCTCCTCTAGGCCGCTCTCTCTGTCGCGTTTCTTGGCCTTCTTCTCGAGCTCATCCCAGTCTTCGCCTTCATCGTCACTGTCGAGCTCAGCATCGCCATCATCATCGTCGCTAGCATTGCTACCGTACTCGGAGTCGTCTTCACTCGATTCCGAAGCAGCTTCCAGATCGTCTTCTTCCACCTCAAAGGCCGACTCCTCCTCAGACTCTTCTTCACCCTCGTCGTCCGAGGCCGCCTGTAGGAAGGACCAGCCACCGTCGACGAAGAATTGGTGGGTGTCGGCCGTAACCGTCTTCATAATGGTCGGCCAGTTCAGGTTCAGGGGACCCTCACTGTAGGCAATGTCGGAGGAGTCAAGGAAGTCCTTGACTTGGTCGAGAAACTCGACGGGGATGGTGTTGATAGCGGTGACTGATCGGGAAAAGTCTTTGAAGACGAATACCATGTCAAAGTTCTTGAGGCCAAACTGCACACGTTCGAGATGCGCAATTTCAATATCCTCAATCGTAACTACCATGAAAGGCGGCTCTATCACCTGAATCAGGCAGTCGGTAGTAGGTTGAATAAAGACGTTGCTCTTGAACGGGACACCATGGAAACCAAGGTCTCTGATAGGCATGTCCACCTCGATACCCTCGTTGCGGCCAGCCTCGGCGATCTTTTGCGCAAAGCCTTGGAATAGTCTGTCGAGCTCGGCGCGACGGCGTCTCTCTTCTTGCTCGGCCTCGAACTCGTCCTCGTCACCGTAGCGATATTTGCGCTTTCTGTTACCAGTCTCATCGAATTGGATATCCGTCGCTTCACGGTAGAATTGAACATCCCTGGTCTTCTTCTTGTTGCCAACAATGATCGGGTCCTTCAGGTGAATGTGAATAATGACGATGAGTTCGTGCTGGCATGGTTGGAAAAACAGGTGCTTGACGTTGGAAAACAGAATATCCACGCGGTGCTGGGCGTTCAGCGGCGAGAGGTAGCGAATACCGTTCTGGTGTATTTCCACCTTGCCGGGTACACGCTTGCCCTCCATCGCTGGTCTGATATAGACGTTGTCCAAGACAGCGGGTCGACGATTTCTAATTTCTGTGAGCTTGTCCTGTTCCACGACATCCTCCATGTCCTTCTTCTCTTGCTCCTTTTTGACAGCATCCCTCTTCAAGTTGGAAATTTGAGTCGCAATCTCGCTGTATCTGTCGCCATCTGTAGAGCGGAATGTCAAGCTGCGCACAAAGTGGGCATTGGCATCCTCAAAAGGCTGGTCGTCTTTGCGGCCGACACCCTGTCCAGGAGACAGAAAGTTGACACGAAGGAATGAGAAGTCATTCTCATCGCTCTTGCTGGCGTTCTTTATGGTGTTGATGTGGAAAGGCACGGGCCGACCCATGATGGGTAGTACGACCGTGGCATTCTTGGTATCCACGATAATTTCCATGTTTTTAACGCGCAAAGGGAATTGATCGTCCCTTTTGTAAGACTCAAAGCGCTTGAACTTCTTCACCTCATCGCCGTTCTTGTCACTCTTGGCCTCCGAGAATCGGACAAGGCCCTCCTTTTGCTTCTTGGTGGCAAGATCCTTTTGGTGGGCACGACGCTTGGCCTCAGCATCGGTATCTACCTGATTTGAACGCTCCGAGCGGAGTCTTGTGCTGGTGATGTTCTTGGTAGCAACAGCACCAACGCGAGAGTCACGCTTCTCCTTCTTCGGCGTTGGCTGCTCCTCTTCATCGTCCTTGAAGAAGAAGGAGTTGGCGTCGGCAGTTGTGGGGGCTTCGGCAGTGAAGACAATGGGCTCGGCGCTTCTAACACGAACGGTGTCGTTGAGCACGAGCGAATAAGTCTTGGAGCTCTTGTCCTGGGGTTGCGGGTTGTCAATGTCCTGGAATCCAGTGTTGATGATCAGGGTCATGCCGTCTTTGAGAGCACGCTGGTTCTTGGCGTTAAGCACCAGGGTGGAGTCTCGATTCTCAAGGCCAACACCCCAGCCGACATTTTTGAGGAAGTGCTTCTCCATCTCAGGGCTCTTGCTCTTGATTATACTAAGAGCCTTGGCGTAAACATCCTTGGCGATCACACCGTCGCGCAGCTCTTGGATAACGGTGTTGTGGATCTGGCATAAGAGTTTGTAGTTATTTTCCTGGGACTTGTTCGGGTCGACAAGGTATGTGCGGGCAATCGAAGAGCAGTATGACTTGTATCGTAGGCCCATGGCGGCAACAATGATGCCAGGATGCAGATTGTCGTCGTTGGAGTCGGTAGCGAATCGCAGATCAAACTTGCCACCACTCTGAATGGCAGGGCCGAGGATCCAGTCAAGCTGCGTAGCATCGAGATCGGCTGGTAGCTTGGTATTGTTGGGTAGCTGCACAGTCTTCCAGAACTTGTCGTCATCGAGCTTTTTGTCGACCTTGTCGGCCAGCGCAGAGTGCTTGACCTTTTTCTCGGCGTCCAGGATGTTCGACATTTCGTCAAGGAAGTAGGGCGTCATGAGTGCAACACACGCTTTAGAAGCAGTTCGCATGGCACGCAGCTCATTCTCATCTTTGACGGAAAAGGCGTAGGTGGAGAGGGCCACGGAGGCATCAATTTGTTCGACATCCTTGCAGCTTTCGGCAAGGACTTTTTTCCATTCGTCGATGAATGGTCCCTTGGACGTGTCGCGAGCGATCGTACCAACTTTGTTCTGTAACCCGGTTAGCTTTTGCTTTAGTAACAGCAGTGTCCTCCCTTACTCCAGCTTCATTAATTTTGTCGGTAATCGTCTTCCATAGCTTGGTATTTGCATCAGCGTCTTTGCCCTTGGAGAGGACCTCAATCGGAAATCGGCCGCCTTTGAGCTGCTCGAGATGCTTGGCTGCGTTGCGTTAGCGGACGAGGCTGGAGCGCTGCTGCCTAGGCGAAAATACCTTTCTTGGGCGTAGTGAGAATGTAAAGAGTCTCGGTGGTGAAGAGCATCAGCGTCGTCGGAAACTCGTAGCCAAGAAGCCAAAACTACCAGATTTGTTAGTCAAAAGTCGGTCGCGAAGCTTCAGATACCAAGGACGGAGGCGTTACGCACATGCATGGCGTTGTTCTTGTGGAACTCGGGAATCTCCTCGACCTTGCCCATGAGGACGACCAGCGACGTGGCGCCCTGGAAAAGGCCGCCATCCTTAGCTCGCAAGTCATTCTTCCATGATGTGACGAAGGAATTAATGCGCTCTTGAAAGAGCCTGCTGTCGATCTTGATCTCCGCCATCGTGAGGTCTGGTGATGAAGCGGAAAAGATGGAGGAGACCTGTAGGCGAGAGACAGCTAGAGTTAGGAAGCACCCAGTTTGCGACGCGAGAAAATGGCTGGCGCGTTAATGGCCGTCGCGGTCACGTGAACCGGCGACGCGTCCTGGCTGCACTTTCAATATCCAAGACTCGAGTTGCGATAAAGGAGCAAAGGGTGGAATAAGTCAAGAAGAGTTTGAATGGGAATCCTCTTTATTCATAATAATAATCTGTGCGCCTGTTGGATCAATTTATGGCTTGAACTCGAATGAGCGCGCAGAGCGTGGTGCGCCGATCTTAACAGCAGACGTGAATTCTACCTAACTACCTATCTTATCTGCACTATTCGTCGTGAGAGAGAAACTTGCTGTCATCTCGGAAAATTAGTTAGAAAATGAAAATTTGTCAAGCGAGTGCTCAGTGAATACGAATACAGGCGCTTGAAAGCGCTAAAGAGCGCTACTTGGTTCATTCAGGCAGCCACTCTAGTAAACACAGAGCAGCAAGAATATTGCAAGGATGAAAGATGTTAGTTAGTTAATTGGGCTGCGTATACTTTGTACTCGACTTCCTACGCAACCACAATTACCTCTGGTCACCCCGCCTAATTATCGCGTGCAAGTTCTCAGGCTGGGATCGACTTGTTCCACATCGGATAAAAGCCTAGCTCAAAGTTATATTTACAGTGCACGGAATTCCTCCACACTTGTCAATTGCGTCTGGCTGTACAAATTAGTGGCTCATCTCTTTTCCGCATTACTGCTGGAGCTGGGTGTAGTTGCCGGACCTAATGCCGAGCCGGAACCACTCCGTTAGCGGCGTCGGCCCGTTTCCGCCAACATCTCTGTTCCAAGTCCAAGTTCTCTGAAAACTATAACAGTCTTTGATCCTCACATGAAAATAGTTATACGCAGACCTCTCAGATAGACCTGAACAACAAATCACCGCCATCATGAAGATCCCCTACGTCTCCAACCCGCCCGAGACCACCACACCCGAAGATGCCGCCATTGTGGCCCGCATCCAGGCCCGCCGCGCCCCGCGCCCGCTCATCCCGCTGGACCTCGCCCTGCTGCACGCGCCGCCCGTCGCCGACGGCTGGAACTCGTTCCTCGGCGCCATCCGCACCAAGACGTCCCTGCCCGACGACCTGCGCGAGCTGGCCATCTGCCGCGTCGCCGTGTGCAACAAGGCCTGGTTCGAGTGGGCGCACCACGCGCCGCTGGCCGTGGCCGGGGGCGTGAGCGCCGCGGCGCTCGACGTTGTCAAGGCTGAGCCGCTGCCGGCGGCACGGCCGGCGGCGCTGCTCAACGAGAAGCAGTGGGCGGTGCTCAGGTACGCGGATGAGATGACGAGACTGGTCCAGGTTGGCGACGAAGTGTTTAAGCTGGTGAGGGCGCACTTCAATGACCGCGAGACAGTGGAAATAACCGCTACGGTACGCTTCAATTGTAGAAGGGAGTAATTGAATCGTGCTAAATTTGTGGTCAATAGGTCAGCGCATACAACTGCGTCAGCCGCTTCCTGGTGGCACTCGATGGTAAGTTGCTTGCTTCTAAGTGAATTTATTGAATATCACGTATACGACATCTAATATGCTTCGTGCTAATGCGGTACATCAGTCGGGGAGAAGAATGGAACTGGCCCCGGCGACATTGCAGCCCATTGAGAAATCGCATACCCGCATCCGAAAAGACACATCTAAAATCAAACGGGAGGCAGGTAGAGGGTGGAGGGGGGTAAGAGGCAAGGGAAATCAACAACTGAGATTTCAAGAACAGAAACCCCAGCCGTTAAACATGGGTTTAAAGGGGAGTGGAAATATTAAACAGGGTGAAGAAGAAAGCCAAGTCGGCATCAGCTTAGAAAGGCTTGAAGCGAAATGACAAGGGGTATCTTGTCTAAGTGAAGCGAATGATTAAAGCACGGTGAAGTTAAGTGTGAAGTGAAGTGAGGGCAGTGAAAGCAAAGTAAAGCAAAATAATGCAGAAAGCTCCATCCAAAATCCAGGCTCGCTCACCGAGAGAGCCTCCAAATCCTCCCAAATCCGCGGATCCTGTCTGAAATCAGGACCCTTCATGTTTCGGTTTATAAGTCGCCCTATGCCGTCATGATACGTTGTGTGGCCAAAGTGCCAACAAATATGCGAAATCAAGGTGCAAAAAGTGGTCTATAAAATCGCTTACCACATAGTGTCGTTGTACAGCAGTTTCGTTATGAATGAAGTATGTTTCGCAGAGATGATTTTGTCGAAGAATAAGGCCGTAGTGTTCATAAAGGCGTGGGAGTCGTGAAACATGACGAAAGCTACAAGGCCCTCTCGCGTGGTGAAAGGGACCTCTCCACGGACATGGACCGCTCAATGGAGGCATGACGCTGTTGCATGCGCGGCGAGAGCTGCAGCTCCTGAACAACACCGGCCCAGCCCTGCCGTCCCATCGAGGCCATGTTCTCCTGGTGGCCAATGGCCTGCATGGTGAGCCGGCGGACAGGCGGACGTCTGGGGGTGCTGTCAGTGAATGACTTGCGCAGCGCAGGCTTGCTCGGCGTCATCGTGGCGGGGGATTTTTCCAAATCCCGAGGGTGTTGAGGAAGCGGTGGCGGCGGCGGGGGTTGCCTGTCGGCGACCGAGGTGATGATGCCGAGGAAGACGACGAGGAAGCGCATGCGCAGCAGGTCGAGGCGGCGCACGCGGTCCTCGAGCTGGACGCGCTTGGCGGCCCAGAGGAGGCGGGTGCTGGTGCGCATGGCGCTGCTGGTGCCAGCGCCGGTGACGTTCTCAGCGGCGATGAGGAGGGCGTTGAGCTCCTCGCGCAGGTCGTCGCCCGTCTTTTGGATCTCGCGGAGGAGCTGACCGAGGCGGAGCTTGTCCTCGAGGCGCTGGACCTTGGCCATGTCCTTGTCGTAGCTCTCGTTCTCCTGGATGGAAAAGTCTACCGTGTCGATAAACGTGGCCATTTCGCGGGGGGCGGCGACGTAGGCGGCCCAGTAGGCGCTCGCGGTCTGGGTGAGGACGGCGACGGAGAGCAGAAGGGCGGTCAGGACGAGGATCAGAGCCCACTGGAGCCAGCCCGAGTCGTGGGCCATGATGAGCGACAGCGGCGGGCGCGAAAGGGGGACGAAGATGAGGTGATGACAGTGGCGGTGGTAGATGCGGCGGCAGAGTCGTGAGCGCGGTTGTGAGACAAGGACATGATATGGTGGGAGCCGTCTCTTTTCGGTCGCGTTCGTGGTCGTGGTGGCGGTGGTTAGGCAGCGGTGGTGATGTAAATGAAGGAGGAGGAGGAGTGGTTGTGGTGTGGCGAAGGAACGAAGGAAACCACAGTTGTGGCCAAACGTCGATTAGACGAAAAGGGAACCCACTTCCCGACTGGGCCGCTGCAGAGGTAAGAGATGTTCACTGCAGGATAATTTTAATGCACATGCAATGCTGGGATCCGCCAGCCAGGTCAAAGGAGAGACGGGAGCAGAATGGGATGGCTGGGCTGGGCCGTGGTGTGTTTTGGTAGGTTAGTGGGCGATGGTGGGCGGGCTTGTGAAGCTGAGCGGGCCAGCCCGCCCCTGCATAAAAAGTAGGTACCTAACTAATTTGTAGGTAGGTAAAAGAGGGTTTTGCTTGCTTGCTTCTGCTTGCTTCTACCTGCGCACTGTAAGTCACATTCACATGGCAGGGACGGATGATGACGATGCAGCTAGAGGTAGCTAGCCGCCGTCGCTGGTGCGGGTGCATACCTAAGCAAGTCATGATTCTTCAGCTGCATCCGAGGCGGTCGGCTTGGTGGCGTTGGTATGAATAGGTACTAGCAGTGAATCAAACGCACTTGTCACCATTCTCCACCGCTGCCTAGTACCTCTAACCTAGGGCTAGAATAGCGCTCAAGCCAAAGGCCGGCGCTGGAACCTATATGTCTTGCGAGAAATTTTTCAGATCTACCCCATGTTGGTACGATGAAGTTGGGCAATCAGGTAACCCGCTGAAAGTTGGTGTGGCTAGTGGTGCCCAGCCACTCACTGCTGGCTGGAAACGTCCGACTGCCCCTCCAAGGCTCACAGTCCAAAGGTTCAGACGTGGTGGGGTAAACTTTTCCACAGAGTTGCACATCCAACAACGACGACTCATTGAACAAACACTATTCCCTTCACAAACAAGCTCACCATCCACGACAGCATCAGACTAGCAAACTGCTCTGCAAAGCCACGCCGACAAATACTAGCCTCCTATTCAGCACCGCGCACATACCATCACCATGGCCGCCGCCGCGGATCCCCCACCCCCCACCGCAGACAGCTTCCCCCTCCCTCCCATCCTACAACAGCCTTCCTCGACGTGCCCCGAGCTCATCACTCAAGGCGCTGAGGGCCGCCTCTACAAGACGACGTACCTGCTACCGTCGATACCCTGTGCACTCAAGTACCGCCCGCCCAAGCCGTGGCGCCACCCCACGCTCGACGCGCGTCTGACCAAGCACCGCATCCTCTCCGAGGCGCGCATTCTCGCCAAGTGCCGCCGCGATGGCCTCCGCGTTCCCGCCATCTACGCCATAGACGAAGCTCGGGGCTGGCTAATGCTTGAGTGGATCCCCGGCCCGCCGGTGCGCGCCGCCATCAACGCCCGCCTCGGCGTCCGCACGGACAGCATCGAGCAGGACGAGCTGCTCAAGGGGCTGATGCGCCGCATCGGCGCCGCGGTGGGCAAACTGCACAAGATGGGCATCGTACACGGCGACTTAACGACGAGCAACTTGATGCTGGACCCGACGGGCAGCAGCAGTGGTGCGCATGGCGATGCCCTGGAGGACTTGCAGGGTGAGGTGGTGATTATCGACCTCGGGCTGGCGAGCGGCGCGGTGCAGGAGGAGGACCGGGCAGTCGACCTGTATGTGCTGGAAAGGGCGTTTGGGAGTACGCATCCTCGAGCCGAGTGTGTGTTTCCGGAGCTGCTTGAGGCGTACCGGGAGACACACAAGCAGGCGCCAGGAGTCTTGAAGAAGCTCGAGGAGGTGCGCATGCGTGGCCGGAAGCGAAGCATGCTAGGTTGATACTTAATCCACAAAGATGAAGAAAAAAACGAACATGCGGCGCATCAAGACTCCATATGTCATATTGCAATGAGACCTTGTCCAGTATCATGTCATGCATATGCCGAGGTTGAAAATGGTCATTTCGAATAAAATGAATGATGCAATTGGCATTTCCCATATACTTTGGAAAATCCAAATGATGCTCGCTATTGATAAATATCCAGAGAAGTAACCCTAACAATGCACCTAGCCCAGCAGTCTCGATCTATAACAAACTTCCTGATAAGCGCAATCTTGCAGCCGTAGCTTCTTTTTCCACCATACACCACTTCCACGTGTCATGCGCAAAAATGTAGAATACCACATACTACCACATTAGTTCACCAACTCCGCGCTAGCAAAGTAGCCCTTGTTCTCAATGACGCCGCGATCCCGCACAAACGCCACATACCGCACCACCCATTGCGGCACAATTTCGCCCTGCCAGCCGGGCTCCCCGGGGTGCTCCGGGTCAGCGAGGAGGCCAGCGCCCTGGGGCCCGTGGCCGAGCAGCTGCCGCAGGGTACCCGGGGGCAGGATGTCGGTGCAGTCGGCGTGCACGTTGAGCTCGATGCCGTGGGCGGCGGCGAGCTGCTTGAGCGGCGGCGGCACGTTGCAGCAGTCGCGGAGGTTGATCTGGTCGACGGCGGGGCGGACGGCGGTGCGGGCCATGAAGGCGGCGAGCTTCTCGCTGCCAAACTCGGCGACGCCGAGCTGGCGCACGCGGCCGGCGCGCTGCAGCGCCTCGAGCACGCCCCAGGTCGCCACCTCGTCGTCCAGGTTGCCCTGCTGCGCGTTGCGCTTGTCCGCCTCCCACTCGCACGTGCCCTCAAACGACATGCCGGGGAACGAGGCCACGAGCAGGTCAATGGTCGCGACGCCGAGCTCGCGCGTCACCAGCCGCAGCGCGTCCTCGACGTAGCGCGCGCGCTCGGCCGCCAGGCTCGCCGTGTCGTGCGCGCCCGCGCCCGCCGGCGGCAGGAAGAAGAGCTTGACGGTGATTTCGTACTGGCTCGCCTCGTCCTGCAGCCCCGCGCCGTCCCAGTGGATGCGCGGGATGAAGATGTGCTTGTCGGGGAAGGAGGAGGAGGAGGAGTCGCTGCCCGCCGTTTTTTCGGTCCAGACTTCGACCGCGGGAGGGATCGGGGCGGGGGCGTGGCCGTTGGTCTGCGGCGGAAAGGTCGCGTAGTCGAGTTTGGCGGCGACAAAGTTTTCGCGCAGCGAGTTGACGAGTTCGAGGTTGGACCGGCCGCCGGGCGACTTGGACTTGCGGATCACCGAAGGACCAGCGGACATGACATTGCTGTGACGGGTTGCATGTTAGAAGACGTCTGCTTTCGAAACGGCAATCAACAAGTCAAGCAGAAGGATCTCCGCAGAGTTGTTTTGCTTTTTCTTTCGTGGGGGCCGACGGGCGCAATGGCGCGCTCATGCCCCTCACTGTAGAATGGGAAAGGGAAAACGGAGCGGGATTTGGAACGTGCCTGGTAGAGAGAATCAGCTTCGTCATTTTGATTGGCGGGGTTGGCGGGCTCAGCTCGCCGCGCAGAATCTCTGACTGTAAACGATCCAAAAAAAAAAGGATGGGCGAGCACGGCAAGATATAATTGGGGGGAAGCAGAGAATCCGGGGATCGTTAAAAGGTCAAAGTCGGCGAGGCCATGGGAAAGGCGCAACCCGTTTTTCTTCCTATCGGCGGCGCGCCCGATGTTCCGGTGGGCGGCGGGCGGGCAAAGGAAAATTCGATGATGGCAGCACCCGGCGCCAGGAGCCGGAAGCAAAGTTGATTAGTAATGAGATGGCGTCTTCGTTCCGGACGCACAAGAGCGGGTTGGTGTTTGGATCATGGTGATGCGATATGCCGTGTAATTATTTCATAGATATGCAAAGGGGGGTTAATAGTGGGAGGTTCTGTTTATTCACTTCGTGGCTCTCTGTTGAGCAAAGTTGATGGGTCTCTTGGTTTTGTACCAGGTATCCATCCCGAGCGACGTTCTGGTGTCGCCTGTAGGCTGTAGGCCGGCCTCCTGCCCTCCGTCCTCCGCCTTGCATCTTGCATCAACCATTCTCGGCAGCGCTCACAGCGCTGAGTGTAGCCCGCTGTCTCACTGTAGGTTTCCCTTAGTACCTGGTAGGTCTATCTACCTCAGTAGGTGGCATAATGGTCAACTGCCGAACGAACTCCGCTCTGTCGTCGCATTATTATGTGTCATACGTACAGATGGCTTGCAGAATAGATAAAATACATGTGAGATAGTGTCTAATTCAATCAGCCTCTCTTGGCTTGCTGGCTGGCACACTCGAGGACGATGTCTTGACAGTCAAACAAGAGGTGCCTGTTACTACAGGTACCTGCCTAGAAGTCCCACTCTCCGCCGGCGCTCCAATCACCCCGCTGCCAGCTTCAGGAGCAATCAGCAACCAAATGCTTGGTGGGGTCACCACACTGGACAGCTCGCAGCAACAACGTCTCTGCGGAGCTCTCGTCACCAACCCTTCGAAATTGCCTGCCAAACAGGCTCAATCCCTCTCCATCTTCGACATCCGCCCACTGCATTCTGTTTCCTCCGCGTCCTTCTCCGCCACCCGTTGCATCTCGGCGTGTTTATTTCCACGCTTCCCGGGTGTTGTGCCGTTGCCCGCCATGGCGATTCGGTGCGTCACGTTCCTGCCTGACCGCACAAAAAGGAGCATGTGGCAAAGCTAACCCCCTTCTCAGGCATCTAATTCTGCTCTCCCGTCAGGGCAAGGTGGTACGTGGCATCCGTTGAAAGAGACGTTGACCTCAAAAAATCTAACTGGAACAGCGCCTTGCCAAGTGGTTCACCACTCTGTCACCAAAGGAAAAGGCCAAGATTGTCAAAGACGTCTCGCAGCTGGTGCTTCCTCGACGAACCCGCATGTGCAACTTTCTCGAATATAAAGGTGCAAACGAGCAATGGCACGTTAATAAATCTGTTGACTGACTCGATTCTATCAGATACCAAGATTGTTTACCGCCGTTATGCTTCGCTCTTCTTCATTGCCGGCTGTGATGCCGACGACAATGAGTTGATTACCCTCGAAATTATCCATCGATACGTCGAGCAGATGGACAAGTACTATGGCAACGTCTCGGAGCTCGATATCATCTTTTCGTTTACCAAGGCATACTACGTTCTTGACGAACTGCTGCTCGCGGGCGAGCTGCAAGAGAGCAGCAAAAAGAATGTGCTGCGCTGTATCGGGCAACAGGATTCGCTGGAAGACATGGAGGTACGTTCCGATATATATTCATAAATTTTTTTGACCCTTTGGATGCTCTTTTGAAATTTCTCGTCGCTGCTGCAATCCCCGCCATGCTCAGAATCGCAGCTGACTTGATCCTGTTCCATCCAGGTCGAGGACGAAGTGGCCCGACTGATGTAGTCGCCCAACAAAAACTGCCTGCCTCGAACAGGCTCAGCTCGAATTGTGTTTTTTTATCTTCTTTTACAAATCAGTTGTGGAGTTTGGGGGAGTGATTTGGCGTTGACACTATCGTTACAGGTCTCGGATTCGATAATGAGGGGTCTCGAGGATGCCGGGTTCGTATGAGAACCCTTGGCACTGTCACCGGTGTTTTGCATGGGACAAGGAGCACCAGAAACGTAAGAGAAATCGCCAGATTCAACAAAAAGTCTCAGGGCACTGAGCATCTCTTCGATGAGAAGAGAGGGCGCAAAGGGGACATGGGCACGCAGGCAATGAAAGGGTTGCTTTGGAAGCGTGACCCCGTTAGCCTTGTGTATAGATCTTGAGGAGTGGAAAACCATTCCGTTGATACAAGAAAGCTAGATTTCACCACGCGATGCCGCTGTCGAGATACTTTTTTTGGTCCTGTTGGTAGCTGTCTATTGACTACTGACGGGGGACAGTCAGGCATCGTATGGGAGAAGCGAAATGCGGCTACTCTGGAAAAGAGAGCGCAATCGCGCAACAAATGACAAGACAAATGCTCTCTTCGTGGACTGCTTCACCAGATCGCTGATGTACCAACTCTGATTGATTACTCTGACGACATGCCAGCGGGCAATGCTAACAGCATAGGGGACAACGACACAAGATGAGGCGACGAGGCACAACGGCAAACGGCAATGACAATACGAATGACGCGGCAACGACGCGTGGGGGCAGATTGGGACGCCATTCGCCATGGATGCCCATGGTGCAGCGAGAGTTTGGCATCAGTCCACATGGCAAGGCTCCTGGGATGTCGTTGGCGCGTTAAGATGGATGGGCTTTGCTATGGCCGGACTCGGACAGGAAGCGGGGAAAGGATGGCTTGCCTGAGTGATGGGTACAGTGGATGTGCGCTGGTGTTACAGTGATGCTTTGCAGCGCTGCACAGCGCTGTGACACCGGCACATGCGCTGAAAACTGGCTCCCAGTGCCTCACTTGGTCTTTGTCGGGCACCGGAGAGCTCTGCCGCCTTCGTGCTGAACGCCGCATCAGCCGCATCTCAGCACCTCCTGACGGTTTAGTATCTCAGCACATCACCACACCAAGGAAGTCGCCCCACTTGGCCTAAGCCGTCAAACCGTCAACCCTTCCTCACTCGCTCGCTCAATCGCCCCCCCCCCGTTGCTCGCCTCGCGAACGCTCTCTGCTTTCGCTTCAAAGCTTCTCGCCGCCCCGAGACGTTGATTTCATCTTCTCGTTTTTCCAGACTCTCTCTCTATACCACAACCTCCCGCCCTCTATTTCGACGCTTCATTTCCGGCCCGGCGCCACTCTCGGGCCTCTATCGCATCACACTACTGCAAAGCACCCCTGTCAGTTGGTGACGAGACAACAGCGGCCACTCACCACCCTGCGCTGGCCTTACCGATCCCGCGAGCCCGACCTGCATTATCCCCGCCGCAAGCGACTCTCCATCGCCCAACCGAGCATCGCCACATTCTTGCGATTGATCTTGATCAATTGTACGACATTTGTGATCGCATCTCCTCCGTTGCCCCGCCTGCGCGCGACGCCTACCTTCTTGACCTGCGCCCGCGCGACTTCCTCCGATCGGTCCCGCGACCGACTCTGCCACCGCCTCACCGCATCACGAACCCATTCTCGCTCTACTTGCCATACCGATATCTTGGCTGGTATTCAACTTTGGCAACCATTGCAATTATCCAAAGCCTGTCCCACACTATATTGCTTCCTTGTCCGTGTCCATCTCCCACCAGACGGCACCGGCAAGCGATACGCGATGAAGGTATGTTACATCCAGCAGCTTACGCCACCCATTCAACCAAGTCGTGCCCCTTTCCCTGCGCCATTCTAACGCCATAAATCTAGTATTTGCCCGTACAAGACTTCGAGGCCGTCACCGGCGCTCTCAACTTCAATACTCCAGACTGCAACGTCACCGGCGGCTGCGATCTCTATACCACAAAGTCCACCGGCTCCGACAAGAAGCTCTACAAGAACATTGACAAGGACCTCAGCTCCCAACATGAGGCCCTCGTCAAACTTGGTGCCAGCCTGTCACCCCCGGAGCGCGAACACATGCTGGCCTCATCACCATCCATGCAGCTCTTTTCCACCTCGAGTCCTTTCGGTCCCCTCTCAGAACTCTCTAGCCGCCGCACATTCGCATACATGATTGCCACATTAAACGCCTCGCACCCGCACTACGACTTTTCTCACGTTCTGCGCCCCGGCGACTTCAAGCGAGAGCGCAACCTGCGCCGCGTCATGGCCAACCTCGACTCGATATTGCAAAACGTCCGTCCATCATCCACCTTTGAGCCCACGTCACTCAACTCGTCATATGGAACCGATTCGTCCTCGTTTTGGGGCCCTCAATGCTGGGCCCTGATTGACAAGGAGATGCGCCTCAACGAGTGTACCATTTTCCGATACAACCCCGACACGGATCCCTTCGAGGAGGACGAGAGCGCCATCTGGGCCGCTCACTACTTCTTCTTCAGCCGAGCCCTGAAGCGCGTAGCCTATCTCTACGTCCGCGTCGTGCCCGTCATCTCCTCCCAGAGCCCCTCGTTGAGGCCTATGCGCATGGCGGGAGGGCACGGACACAAGCTTGGTGTCTTGGGAGCTGGCGACACCGGTGTAAGCCGTTCTGCAGGTGCTGAGAAGCGTGCGACGTACTGGCTGAGCGATCGCGATGCCGAGCTCGTAATACCACCAGAAAATGACGACGAGCTTGGTGATGATGGCCTGTACTGGAACCGAGGGGAAGACGGGGACATTGTCGCTTTCTCGGACGACGACTACGTGGAAGACGAAGAGGATGATGACTTTGATGACGTGGATATGCTGGATACGCCGAGAGAGAGATTTATGAGCGAAGATATTGCCGGTAGGATGGAAATTTGAGCGGCGACGAGGGAAGGCGCCGAGAATCGTCTTCAACAACCAACCAATTTCCTACTATTGGCATGAGACTGGCGTTGCGTGTTGTTCTTTTATGACCGGTACCTCTACGATTTACGTTGTTTTAGGTGAGGAATGCAGCATTGGCGCATGGATTCGAATTAGTAATTTGCTTCCCCTTTCCTTTTGTTTTTCCTTTGTCTTGCTTGTTATACGCTTGCTTTGCTCCTTCTTTGCTAAGTTGGTTGGCTCACCGCTGAGGAGATGATGTACAATTTTTCTCTTTGCAAATATTTGGCTTGACGAATACTCGCGGCATAGTGAGGTGTCGTTTTCTAGAGGGGAATGCCGAGGGAGAATTCGATGCTGGACTGCCTGTTGTTATTATTTTCCTCTTACAATTTCTAATGATGTTCTTTATCTTTTTTGTATGCTTGAGATCTGTTTTGAAATTTTTCTACGAGAACTCAAATGATAGTTGCAAATGATGATTTCAATCCAGTCAAGCCTTGTCCAGATGGTGCAATTTCTCCCAAGCCTGTCTCATCACAACGACCACGTCACTTGAGATCGCACATGTACCTGTAGGCACGGAGTTTCTTCGCATTTGTCAAGTCGAATTTGCCAAGTAGAACAAACGTTGCCGCAGGGCTCACTCAACGGAGGGAGAACAAGGCACATTACGTTGTTTATGAAGAAAAAAAAAAGAATTCAAATTGATGCTCCATCTATATCATACGTAGCAAATGTCGTATCCAAAAAGAGGAAAAGAACAAAAAAAGGAAGAGTAGTCCAAAATACGCGACAGACAAGAAAATACCAGGCACTATTAAGAAATAGTAATGAACGTAAGTACTATGGTATAAATCGAGAGTGGCTGCCTGATTGCCTCTCAGGATGAAAAGAGGGGGGATGAAGCAGAGTTGCAAGGAAAACAACCAACAAAAAGAAATCGCGAGGATATAATACGCTAGATGATCAAGTAAATGTGCTTTCCACTCCATCGTGGTGTGACATTCGACATCAAAAATATTCCCTTCCCTGTACACATATAAACAAAACAAGCAACCTCAGCTGGTAGGGTAGATGGCATGTCTGGATTTACGCCGCCGTCTTCTTGCGGCGACCAAACATCCTGCCCAAACCACCACTGCTGGGCTCTTCGGCGCGCAGGGGGGGCTGCTTCACGGCCGGCGTGTCGGGAGGCCCCGAGCTGCGCAGGAACGCGGCCAGGTCCGACGTCTCGCTCCGGTGCGTGCTCCCGGCCGGCTCGCGCGGCTCAAACTTCTTCATGGGCACGCGGCCAGCGGACGCCCCGCGGGACACAGACGAGATGCGCGGACGCCCCGTCGACTGCGTCTCCATGGCGCCATACTTGTCATAGCCAGGCGGCATGGTGATCTGGATGGGAATGTGGCCGCGATTGCTGGCACGGCTGCTGATAGAACGAGCGTCGACGGACCTAACCGACGCCGTGTCCTTGGCGGCATTGCCGCGCGTGAAGCGACCCATCAAACTAGGGGCACTGGACTTCTTCTTGGGCACATTGCGCACCGTGGCGGCTGGCTCTGCTGGTGGGTCGTAGTTGCGCAGAAACTCTGCGAGACTCTCTTCCCTCTTCGGCTTTGCAGGTGGTGCCGTCATCATCGGCATCACGTCCTCCTCCTCTTCCTCCTCCTCGTCGCTCAAGTCAATGGCATAAGGATCGCGAACGCGGCGAGTCTTTCGCTGCGGCATGGCCATGTCTTCCTCCCCAAACATGTTGGCAACCTTGCTGCTGCCACCTCTTCCCTTGAGAAGCCCCGAGTTCGAGTTCATCGAGGATTGCAAGGAGTTGTCTGTCACATTCGTGGAACCTTGGCTGTAGCGAAGGTCCGGCAGGTTTGCATCCACGGCCTTGCCACCAGGGACCCCGGCCAATTGATCCGAATCCATAGTTGTTCGAAAGGGGGCAACATGGCGTGGAATGCGGTGGTTGCTTGCTGCAATGGGCGGGCCTTGGCGGATGAAATCGATCAGATCCCGAGTATCATTCTTGTTGGGGGTGGCGGCATCACGGGGTTGGAAGCGACTCTTGTTGCTAATGGTCGAAGCCCGGCGCGCTGAGTCGGGTGCACGTGGTACCGGCCCAGAGAGTCCCAACTTTTCGTTTGATTTGAGCGCAGGCAGTTGCTTGCTGTCGGGAGACGGCCCAGTAGACTTGATAAATTGAGCAAAGTCGGAGGTTGTCTCGCTCGGTACCCGCGCATCTCTTGCCTGTGGTCCATCCATCCTCCCAGTAGTCACTGCAATACCTGCGGGGGCTCGAGGAACTGGGCCAGACGGCTTGCTCTCTACGATGGTCGAGTTGTCGATTGCTTGACCACGGAACGTAGACGGAGAGACGCTTACCGTTGGCGATGGCTGTGAAGTGATAGGCGAGCGTGCGTCTTCGCTTCTGCGGGGGAATTTTGTTACTACTGGGCTTTCAAGGGCAGCCTTGTCAGCGTGGCGCATGCTTTCTGGCGTGAGCGTGTATGTGATGGTTTGATTGCTCTGTATGAGCTCCTCGAAATTACGCGCAACACTTCCAGAGCGGCCTGTCGAAGAATTCTCCTCAGATGACCGTACCACCTTCATTCTTCCCGTGATAGAGGAGCCAGAAGAACCAGAGGTGTGAATCGCTCGCGGGGGGCCGACCGAGTGAAGCGCCGTAGAGCACTCTTCGTCTTCCTCTTCGGTGCGAACTCTCTCAAGAGAGCCCGGTGTCTTGCTATCCCTGAACCCATGTAAATGTCGAGGGCTGGGCGAGTGGCCTGGCGATCTGGCCTCAACAAGCATTGCTGGATTGGGCGACGGCTTGCCATCATATGATGTGTTGACAAGTCTAGGTGAAAGAGGTTCGCGAGAGCCGAGGGCATCTCTGGTAGCCTTCTCAACATCAAGCATCATTGGGAACTTGGCGTGTCTTTTGCCTCGGCCCATAACACTTCCGCGCGCGGGTATAGGAGTAGTGCTCTCGATGCTGTCTTTGCCGTGGGCGGTGTGATAGTCAGACTCCGCATCCGAGTCGGAAATGGCGCCTGCACTCCGGAGAGTTTGCTGGACCGGGCCTTGCACAGTCGGTAGGGGTACCGCTGGTACGGGTGGATCTGATGTGCTCCTATCGACTGGACCTAAGTCATGACTTGATTTCGCTGCCAGAGCAGCACCAGCTACGCCAGCTGCTGCTACTGTGCCAGTCAGAACAGCGACACTAGACAAACTTGTAGAACGAGGAGTGGTATCCAGAGATTCTTTGCGAGGGTATGATGTCGGGCTTTTCGGACTCTTCGGACTCTTCGGAGCTTGGACATCAATGATCCGAGCAGAGTGCATGCTTGAAGTACTCCGCTTGTGGCCTTTCTTTGCTGACTCGCCGGAAGATGAGGATGGGCTGCTATCGACGGAGACTCTTGACGAGGTTACGACCTCAGCCTTTGCAAAAGTTGCCACCTCGTCGGGTCCGTCAGAGTCCCAGGTCAGGTCGTCCGCGACAGAAGCCTTACCAGGCTTGTTGTTGACCTGACTTTTGGGTGTTGTCAGACCCAATCCTGTTGGTACGGAGCCTCTAGGCGGCTCTGAAAAGGGCTTCTCGTCATCGCTCAACTCAGAGACGAGGTCTTCATTTGGCTCAACATCACTGCCCTGTGATGTTTCCACATCCGTGGTGGGCTCCTGTGTGTTCTCAAGCACGCCGCGTTGTCCGTTGGTAGAGAAGAAGGGAAGTGGGGGGGAAAGTGGCATAGAGATAGATCGTTGACGGGGTTTGACAGAACCTTCTTCATGATTGCATTCGTGTCTAGCTCCCGCCAAGTCCAGCAGGCCAGGAAAGTTGTCATAAAAGCTCTTGGGCCGGGTGGGCACGAAGGTATCGTCTCCAGCCTCTGATTCCTCGTCGCTATAGCTAACAAGACCAGGAACTTCGATTTCATCGACATCACGAGGTCCCACAGGTAGCGGGATGTCAACTGGTAGAACATCTTCCACAATTGTTTCCTCAATGGACTCTTGCGCTCTAGTGACCTCGCTTTCCGTATCCATGGGTGACTTTGGAGAGACTAGGCCGCGGCTCACACTGCCATGCCGAGAGTGCCCAGATGAAAGATGCGAGAACGGCCTAGGGGCGGTGTCTCCAATGGGGCTTCGAAGTCGTTTCTTCCAGCCACGCCAGAGACGACCCAAGGTTCGGTCCAGAGCGACACGTTCCATATCAGCCTCTCCGACAATGATTTGATCCGCCATGTCACCGGGCTGCCTGCTGCCATCCTTGAGGCCTTTTTCAATATCAGAGCGCACTCGATGGTAGGCTGCTTGGCCCGCTACCGTTAGAGTAAGCTCGCCCATATACTCCATCACAGAAGTCATAAAGATTGCGACAGCGGGCGATATGACGTCGGAAATCTGCTCGTCAACACCGACCTCGAGATCTTCTTGCTTCATGTACGTGTCTTCGTCTTCCTCTTCCATATCACCGAGAGACGAGTAGACCATACAACGAAGTCGCGTCCGCTTCCAGACCAGCTCTACATCCCATCCGCGAGATTTGGAGCCCTGTGGTTGAACGTAGTCGTCCTCATCAGCCCCACCTAGGTACTCGCGTAGCTCCTCGTCGGCATTTGTGATGGTATCCCTCGCGAGATTGGGCTTGAGAATCTCTGTAACGGCTGGGCGGAGCGTGGCCAGGTTCGTGGATCTTGACACTTGTAGAAAATTGAAGAGAAGCTGGTCAAGGAAGCCATTGACTAGCTCCAGAGCGCCATCGGTAACATGGACAGGCGTATCCGAGGGTTCGATACCATTTTGGTCATACCAAGCATCAGCATGGCTGTCGTGATCGTTTGTGACTATTTGGGCAGCGGCAGAAGCAGCAATGAATGCAGGCTCGGGAGACACCGCAGCCGGGGGTGTGGTGAGGTTATGGACGTTGGAAGTAGATGGTCGATCGCTCGAAATGCTATGGGCGCTGGATCGAAGACTGTAGGACGTGAGACCAGAGGTTGGTCTAGGGCTGTGGTGACCGTCCATGTCGAACAGTTGCGACTTGGAGTTGAAGTTGGAAGAAATATATTTGGTGAAGGCGACCAGTTGCCGAGGAGATGCCGCTTTTAATCTCAAACAAAGAAGTGCGGGCGGCGTCGGGGGGCGACTGGGGAGATGCGCAAGGACGTTGTACCAGGGTCGCGCGAGGGCAATCGCTGCGTGTTAAATGAGCTTTTGCTGCACATTAGCAATCAGGCCAGGAAAACAATTGAGAAAGGGGGAGGTGATGGGGAGCAGCAGCGCAAACAGGCCAAGGAATCGGCAGCGAATCTGTCACAGATTTGACATTTGACCTCGCCGTGCACCGAGCAAAAGACAGGGGCCACTTGTAATAAGCTTGCGATGGCTGGCCCAGCTGGCTGGATATAGATGAGGGTCGGCAGTGGGAGACAGGGGGCGTATTGGTTTGAGATAGAGGCAGAGGGAATGGGAGCAGGTCCAAGGCTGCAAAGTCGAAGGACGTACTGATAGTCTGGTACGTCGGCACTGTTTTTCCTTTGAAGTTAGGCAAGCAGAGACGGTGTCATTTCGTCGGCGCGGAACCACTGGGCCAGATAGAAGCCAATGCGTTCTTGACAGAAACGCAGTGGTGTGGGAGATGCGCTGATAGACAGGCAATCGCTAGCTGCGAATCGTGGATAAGAAATGAAGCCGGCGAAAACGGATGGAGGAGGAGGGAGAAGAAGAAACGCAGCAGTGCGCAGGTCCAGGATGAAGAACTACTTTTAGGACAAATGAAGAGCGCAATGGGCGAGCGCAAGTGCTTCTTTTTTTAGTCTTGTTCCTTTGGCTCTAGCGTCTTGTCTTGTCTGCTGGCTGGTGGCCGCTTGGGGTGAACGGACGAGCGTGAGCGTGGTGGTACGGGCACCCCTCCAAGCCTCCCCTCTCGGTAGCGTCGAGAGCAAGCACAAGGGGAGTTGGGGAGGTGACAGGGGGCAGACCCTTTGGCTTTTGGTGGCGAGCCGGGGCTGCATGGTAATGGAGGCCAGGTACATACGGGTACTCCGTGGTTACACCCACTGTAATCTGTACCAGTAGAGAGTCAGTACGGTAGTCAGTTAGTACGTGGTAGTGAGAGAAGGCTGCGATGGTGAGAATCCCAGTCGGACGGGCACCAGCTTCAGGGGTGAGGGGTGGTGGGGAAGACGTGCATCCGCGCATCCAGCACGGAGGGTTTGAGCGAGACACGCTCGCCTGACGCCGCCATGCAGGTCGTCGCCGCCGAGTAGGCCAGCTCGTAATTTGTAGTCAGGATGCAAATGTACCTGCTTCGTGCCTTGCAGCAGTAGCACGGGACATGGCGTCGTCGCAATGAGCCCCCTGAGTACAGCAGATGGCAGCCGCGTGAAATTGGCTTTGCCAGAGGCCGGTTCCCTGTCTGGCTCATCTGTTCCCTTTTTTTCCGCCGCGCGCTGGTCTGGTGTGTGCTCCGTACTGTGGGTCACCGTCCCGAGCTAAGACGGCCCTCCTCGCGAGTGGTGGAGCAGTTGGATAGTTACTGCATGAAAGATGAAAGGAGAAGGGAGGATGCAAATGCACGAGGCAAGAGCAAGAAGGTTGTGTTGTGTTGTGCCAAAAGGCAAGGACGGATTTGACGTGCAAGTTATTTCGAGGACAAAGAACAAGACGGGCCGTCAAGCTCTGACAATTTGATGCCTGGCAGCTGGCAGGCCCCAAGCGACAGACGGCGACAAACGGGCTGCGAGGGAGATGAACGGCAATTGCATCCGTTCAACGTCCGTCAACAGCGGTGGACAAGTACCTGTGACGCGGCGCTACAAGTACGACAGTGACGACGCTAGTACGACAACGGCCTAAAGCCCGCTGCAACGCTTCAGTCCAGGGCTCTCGGGGTCACGCTAATTTCATCGGGCGGTACCTTATTTAGCATAGGTACAACCATGTGCTTTTTTTAATTAATTCGATTTCCCTTGCAGCTACTCCAAGTCCAGTGTCTTTCGGTACCTGGTGGGCTGCAGGCAATATCCCCGCCGGCCCGCTCATGCACCACGGCGCAGTTGAAGCCATCTCCAAGGGCAGACAGGCCTGTCGTCAAACACGACACGACGCCAACGCCTGCCCTGCCCACACCCGACTCCCTAACTACACTCATCAGTCACTTCATTCTTCAACTCGACTCTGCAATCGGCATGGACAGAGTAGTTCTTACTCGGAATCGTCCTTGCAAGGCTCCGCGCGATCGATGGTCAGCGATGCAGATGCACCCTGCCAACATAAGCACAGCATATTACATACAGACGGCGATGGCACCATGCCAACCATGACTAGTATTACAATGAATACCAGTAGGTACTTGTCCGCTCAGCTGCTGCACATATGTATGTACGGCACCCCCATCATCATGATCCTTTTCGCGAAACGCTGACATGACTTGTACTGACATTATGCGCCAGCTCGCCTCACCCACTCTGGGGCACCGCTGTCACTTCGGAATGGCCATCTCTATTTCGGCAAGAAAACGAGCTAATTCAGGCGGATGTATCAAATGTCACCGCCGCGGCTCATTCCCGTCCGACAGTCCATCCGAAACCCCACGCTCCTGCCATTACACGACGCCAACAGGGTTGGTTGCGCCGTGTCCATAGCCTCACGCTACGCCCTCCGTCCCATCCCAATACACCACTGATGCATATCAGGCAGGTTACATGACATGTGCATGAATGACAGCCATTCACGCACGACGACACCATTTGCCGCCAACTGCGCGCGACAATTCCTGGTACAATGTTGGTCGATGCGTCTCTCATGCACGCCAAATTATGTTTGGTGTCCTAATCAGTCTTGATGCGGCGCTGGCCTGAAACACGAAACATCTTCACCTGCAAGTGCAGCCTGCCTTACTTGGAGGTAATTATTACCTCTGGGCTCATTATTATCCCCATCCTTTCCGTTGGGAATGGCGTACCGCAATGCTTCCAGTAGATTTCCTTTTTGTGACGAGTCGAATCCACCCAGCAGCCTCCCTCACTTGATTCAACCACACGACGGTAGCTTCACCTGTTTGCCACTCCCGGTCTTGAGGAGCGGCAGCGCCCCGACACTGATCAACTCTGGTGTCGTGTCGTCTTCCGCTTTCTTTGCACCTCGCGGATGTAGGCAGCCTTGGGACATTGTTTCTACCTAGTTAACTAGTAGTGAGTGGCGCTCCCGCTCTGTTCCGTGGCTGGCGGGCGTTGGACCAGTCAGTTGGCTCACTGTCCGGGCTCAGCGTGCCTGAAACTAGTGCGCTATCCAAACACTATCAGTATTCACGAGCACTTCCCGTCGTCCTTGGGTCGCGCCGTGGCATTGACATTTGTTCAAGATAGCTACTTGCTCCACCTTTGGGCCAGCTCGTTGTCGACTTGTTGTTCTTTCTTGAGCGCCTCGGAGGCTTGTAAGCTGAGCTACGGGCAGAAGGCGGCGGTCAAACAGATGAAAGTTTTTTTTTTTTTTTAGAAAAATAATGTGGCCAAAAGCTTTTGCTCCATCGTGCGCTGCGCCAAGTAATACCTTGGTTCCGTGGTCACGGGCTTAGTGTGGGCGGCCCAAGTCACTTCAGCACAGACACTTCCACGAGGCGATCTACGCCAGGGCCCATACATGGTGAGTCTGTGTCTGTGTGCCCTTGACTCGGTACGAGAGCCTGCATGCATTGACGGAGGAATACGCAATAGTTAGAATTGTTCTTTGTTCTTTGTTCTTTGCCATCGGAAACTATTTCCATCAGGTACTTGGTACTAATAAGCACTTGTTGAGCCCCTGCAGATTGCCGGTTCGAACCGCCTTTACGGTGTAGGGTAGGCAAACATTGGAAAGGTGTTATGCCATTGTGGTTATGTGGGATGATGATGTATTGTGGAGGTTGTGTGGGCTCTAGAGAGATCTCATGTACCCTACAAAAGGTCCTCCTCAAGCATCAAGCATACGGATATAGATACAAATCACACACAGTAACTAACAATTCACCACCAAACCACTCCTGGCAGGTGTAGTCAGTTTGCTTCTTGCATCGCGCCACTGAGCTGTCACTGCGGACCTGTTTGTTCTTGCTTGTTTTCTGCCCTTGTTGAGCAGAATTGTGCTTTTTCTCTCTCCACAGCCCTCTCGCTTTTAGCTCGGCCGCGGCACTTGTTCAGACGGTACCTAAACGCCCACCACGGCACTGGCACCACCATGTCTCACTTGATGGATAAAAAAAATAAAAAGCAAAGTGTGCAAACTCTCTTTGAATTTGAATATCTTGTCGCCGGAGCATCGCTCCATCCTGCACCGCCTCCCGCTATTTGACATGCCGTGTACGACTCTACGAGACGCCAGGCGCTTATTCGGCGGCCACAAGAAGTGCTCCCGCCTTGATTCTCCCACAAAAAGTTTCGGCCCCCCCGAATGGGAACAATGCTCGGTGCGCAACTACCAGTACCGCCGTGATACGTATACACCAATTCGGCTTTGCATTGCTTCGGCCCAACGGCGGCATGGCGTGTCGCTCTCATTGCGCGTTCGTCTTGTGCAAAAGTCAAAGCCATCGCCAATCGGTGTGACCTCATATACCCACTTGTGATTCTCCATGATCTCCGAATAAGCAGCCATTATAGGGGGTTTTGCACCCCCAAATATCAGGTAATGGGGCTCTTATCACACCAAACGGTTTGGACGTTGGCTTGACGGCAGGAGAATAACAAGCAGGGGCAAATCGCGGATTATAACCCGTGTGTGCTCCGTATTACTTGCCCGTCAGGTAGGCCCCCAGGGATGGGATGATGTGCCGAGACGTCCTGGACCCGGCAATCTCAATCTTGCCCCCTCTGAGACTTCAGCCAGGGTCCCAGCGATGAACTGACAAATGGTCCGAGCACACTGTGCGCTCCAGCCAACTTGTTTTCTTGTGCTGTGGCAAACAAGGAGCTAATAAGAGGTAGGTTACGGAGTCACCACTTTTTGAGACGGACCTCGCAATTTTCATCAATTCGGGAAGGGTGATGGGACTTGTTTAAGCGGCTGTCACCCGGCCCCGGCCCCGTGACACCCCCACTGCAACTAACTATGTTATCGCGGGCTTGATGCGACCGACCAACAACACAACAAGAACAACAATGCGGCGGCGAGACAGAGAATGGTTTCTTGTGCCGAGAATCTTCTCTTTACGCATGCTGTCGTCTGAAGTGTTTGCTGATCTACCAATACCCTTGTCCCACTCCTTTGGCGCGCCGTCCACATGTTTGCCTACCCTACACAGTAATGGCAGATATGCGAAGCTCCTCCTACACTGGCCAGAACATCAAAGAGTACACGGATTCACGGGCGCTTGTTGCGAGATTACGTCCTCGTGCGGGCTGCATTTCCCGGGCAACTTGTGTGACAATGACTTCAGGCGAGACGCGCAAAGTCTAGTGTGGCCATGTATGTTGACCCAAATTAACGATATATTGATAGAAGTGATCCGGCATGTTTACTGTAATCCTTCTTTGTTAGAAAGAAATCAATGCGCAGATGCCCAAATTACAATGTTTACACTTCAGCATGCGTTTTCTGATATTGATGTCATCTTTCACACCTTCAAGCTTGTTCACCTCTTCAGATCTCGGCGTCTGACATCTCCGGTATGCTAATCCATAGACAGGTCCCTGGCTTTTTTTTTATAGACCGTGAGCCATTGGAGCAGACCTTGCCAGTGGGTTCCCATCCTTAATGGCGGAAATACGCAAAGGCCATTGACGGGGGCGGCCCTTGCAGACATGGTGGGCAAAGGAAATGGTAGCCCAAGACCTACCTGCCTTGCCAGGCCCTTGTACGAGTACACATTTTCGTCGCTACTGTACGGCCACGTTTCTCATCGCCCCGACTCTCCGCTTAGCTCTCGTTGGAATCGGTATCCTTTCCGAGCGGTCAGGGATCCGGGGCCGGCGGGATGCACATGAGACGGGCCGCGCGGGTGGGCGGATGAAGAAGCGCACACCCATCTATATTGAGGCAGCGCAGGAGGCGGCTCCATTATATGCACGTCTCGGATATATGATGATGAAAACCGTCGAGGTGGATCTCGGAACCGAGGATCGAGAGCCGTACAAGATCTCTCCCATGATCCGAGAGCCGAAAGAACTAGGTCGTTCGCTGAGCAGGGAACATTCTCGCAGAACCGTCATTTAAAGCAACCTCACAATAGAAAGTGGCATTTTAGTCTCAGAATAGCAACATGGGAAATGAGCATCTATCTGTGTGGGCTACTCCCAGTCATGACCGAACAAAGCATCAATATCGTCAACATCGGGATCATTCCAATCAATCTCGGGAATCTTCTAGCTCTCAATCCCATCATCCAATTCAATCCCCAACACACTGCCCTCCCTTTAAATTCATCACCGCCGCGACCGGCACGTCGCGCTTACCTGACCTGCGCACCAAAAAGACGTACGTCTCCGCGAGGCGTCGACACTCGATGCCCCTCGCGCCCAGGTTCAAAACTGGCCCGTAATAGTACCCGTACATGTCCTTGAGAAAGTTTCGTTGATGCGATTAAGGCGATATCGACCGAGTCCAGCAGAAACCGCGTCATTGTAGCCTCTGCCAGCCAACATCAAGTGGTCCACGCCGATTCGGCAGCTGCGAAAGCGTCGGGCTACAAGTGAGCCATATACACCGACGGAAAACAAAAGATAAGTGGCTATATCCACAGATCTACATTTTTAATATATAAGGTGTTATCACTATTGTACAGTTTTCACCAGAGCTATGCTGGTCAACAGACGAGTGGTGCTGGTCAGACACTGTCCACGCCGCACTTTGGTTCCTCATTTCCAGACTCGTCCTTTTCTTGAGTACTTCCGTCCACGGTGGACTCTGAGCTGTTGCCTTCTTGACCATTGCCGTCGGTGGCGGGCTCTGACTCGTCAATCGTGGCGTCTTCTTCTCCTTTGTCGACCTTGGTCTCATCCAGATCAGCCTTGTCGTCCTTTGTATCGCTCTGTTCGTGTACCTTGACAACTTTGCCTGGATTGTATTTCTCAAACAAGCATCTCAGCTCGTCATCATATCTCTCCTTATCTTTCAGCTTGCGCTTCACCACCTCATCACGAGCTTCTGTCGGCCAGAACAGTGCCATGGCTTCCTGGGTCTTGTCATCCGCGAGCTGCGGGGACAGGCGATCCATCGCGAGTCGATACATGGCATTGATGGAGTTGAGCGCGCTCCAGAACCAAAACGCATCAGACTGCCACGCCCGCTCCATCACGTGGGAGAGCGCGACGCTGTGCTTGTTGCCCAGCTCCCGCTCGACCTCGGCCAGGACCGCCATGAACTCTAGGCGGATTTCGTTGTACGCGTGATATCCCTTGTCGCAGATTTGATCAATCGACGCCTCTGTGAGCCAGTGCGGAAGAGAAAGCATCTCCACCGGCAGGCTGCAGGTCCACTCGAGATCGACCAGGCAGGTAATGTTCCAGTCGGCATCGACAAAGATGTTGCCCGCGTTCAAGTCGGTGAGCTGCAGCACAAACGGGCCGTGGTTGTAGTCCTGGCCGATGAAGCGGTACGCATGCAAGCGGAAGCTGGTGTGCACGGCCATCTGGAGGAGGCAATCCGCCTCGTCGAACACGGCGTTTGGCTGCGCCAGGAACTTGTCGTCGTGAAAGTCGAGCATCGCCGCAGCGTACGACTGGGCCGTGCGGAATGTCGTGTCCGGCGCCATGGTCCGCGGGGCCGTGCCATTCTCGAGCACCATCATCGAGGCGGTGACGGGGCGGCTGGCAAGCGCAATGGTGCCGTCCCTGTTGAACCGAAAAGAGCCAATACGGGGCTGCGGGATCGAGGCAAGCGAGAGCATGATCTTGGACAGATTGCGGAAGAGGGTCTTGCGGTGCTTGGGGTCCCCCTTGTGCTCCATCCATGTTGCAACAAGCATGGTGCCCTGCTCTTCTCTCACGTACTCCAAAAGCATGTACGAGCTGTCGAAGCCGAGCGCGGCCGCACTCGTGTGAAGTGTGTAATTGGACAGCGCCGGCCGCCCCAGCAGACGGTTTGCGAAGCGGCGCAGCCCATGAATGACGCGGCGAACAAGGGATCGCTGCCTAGAATGTGTAAACTGCCAGAGTTGGTCATCATTAGCCGGCGGAGTAGCACGCTAGACGCCCCGGTGACCGTTTACCTGCTCGCCGCCGCGAAAGCCCAGGCCATACAGATGCGGGATGCGAATGTGCGGCACGTTGTCCTGCATCCAGGCGTACGTTGCCACCTCTGTGGCCAGCTTCTCCTCGGGCGTGCCCGGAAGCCGCTTCTCGGCCACCTTGTGCGGCATCGGGCAGCGGAGCAGCAGGTCCAGCGCGCCGTGCCTCTGCTGCACCTGCACGGGGATGCACACGTTGAACGCGCCGCGCAGCCACTGGCTGGGGTGCGACACGCTGCAGGTGTGCTGGCCGCTGAGGCCCAGATGGTGCAGCGTCAGCGCCGAGATGGCGTCGCTCTGGTCCCAGAGCTTCATGTACAGGCTGTTGGTCTCTGGGTAGTCTTGGCATTTGACAATCATGTCCTCTTCCTTGGCGACGGCTGATTCATAGGTAATTGCGGGACGATCGGTGAGGATCATGGTCGCCGGTTCTGTTTCCACGGTTGCTGGGTCTGTTTCCATGGTCGCCGGTTCCGTTTCCATGGTCAATTGAGGCTCTGGTCTTGCTGGTGATACTGCCGTTTGTACAGTGCAGCAAGACGAGGCGTTGGTTCAGGGGCTCGGAGCGTACAAGGCTGCGGAAAAAGAAATGTTCCTACAAAAGACCCTTGCCAACAATGCGCGACAAGGAATTGTGTAATTCGTAGACAAGACGGTTTGCAAGTATCCAGTCCACCAAAATATAATACTACTCCCTGTCAATCCGAATAGAAGATGCGATTTTGGCATCTACAGACACCAGTTAGTCCATCATCATCAGTGGACCCTTGATCGTTGACCAGTTTCACATACATACAGACGGGTCTGTCTTGTTGTGTGAGAGAAGCTAGAAGAATGGCGAACAGACAAGTATTGTCTGTCATGGCTGCTTCCAAGGCTTCTCTTTTTCCATTTTTTGGTGAATGCTGCGCTTTTGCGAAAAGGCATGTCATTACGACCCCATTCAGGGCAGACACACAATCACGCCTGGGCGAAGAGCCGGACAAAAGATTAATTAGTGATACCTCGTGCCATAACTCTCCGTTGTTTACAGGTGGTATGTATTATGTATGTACATTAGCCAGCCAAGACGGTCGTGCCGTGCCACAGCGGTCCCCCGGCGCCGCCCGCCCGCCAAGACCTGTGCCTGAGAACGTCTCGCTACAATTTACATCAAGGTCTAGTCTGGGTTTGCTGGATTTGTGAAAAATAGAGGGTCCAATGGAGGAGAGCGGTTCAACAACATGGCAATATGAAGCGGCGTACCTGTGACGCAATTGACACGGAAAATCATTCTCTAGCCTCTCTGTCAAGGTTCGGTGTAAGTTCCAAAGGCCGTCAAAGCACGACGGGTGGCAAACCGAGACAGCGCTTCTACACGGCACCATTCGCAAAAAGAAGCCTGAAGTTATTCCAAACCTACATCTTTGATTCCAAGCATCTCTCTAATTTTTTTCAAAAAAAATTCAGTGCCCGGGAATGCTTGCGTACAATCGCGCGCACTACCGGGTACGCTGGTCGCTCGGCCGTTTTAGCCAACAATTCTGTGGCGGGGCTGTCGATCCAGCGCCACAACCCATGACGATGGCTCTCTCTCTCTTGAGGCGCAGCAGCCCTGCCTCTTCTCCCCCCCCTTCGCATTCACAACTGCATTCTCCAGAGTCTTCTTGGAAGAACATTACAAAATCAACAACTCAACATGTCTGGCCCGTCGGCTACCGAAAACGACGTCGAGATGGCGCGCCCCGAACCCGCCATGCTCACCAGCCAGCCTGTCCGCCACCAAGCTATGGGTGCGTCAAGTCGACCGACGTTGTGCGCCGTCTGGAACAAAACGAGCGCGTACACGAATGGATGACAGGGCTAACAGTTCAATCTAGACGCTCAAAAACCGCACGCCGACACCGAGAATACCGAACCCGAACTTGGGCTGCGAGGAGGTGGAGAGACGTGCCCTGGCCGCTTCTGCTTCATCATTCCTTGCCCTATTCCCATCAACTGCTGCATTTTCCCCTGTCCTTGCTAGTTGGACAGCGCCACATTATATAGAACATGTCCATCATACAATTCACCATCATTTTTAATGGCACATTTTGGATACAACATTACTGCCCTTCACCTTCGTCTTTGACTCATCTGTGCCATGATGGATTGAAGCAAAATGTATTAAGGATATTGGGCTATTATATCGTTACGCGTAAAGTCTCGAGGTATCAAAGGGGTATCAATCTGGCCCGCAAGAGTACTGCACAAAATCTTCTACTCCTTGTTCTTCTGTGCCTGCTCAGCTTCGGCACGCTTCTCGAGATCAGCTTCAACACCACGCTGGGCAGCCTTGCCGTCGGCGCGCAGCTGGTCATAGTGAGCCTTACCCGACTCATCTCCCATAGCCGAGGCCACGGCACCGCCCACAACGCCCTTGGCACGGTCACCAACGCCGCCGGCTAGATCACCGAGTTGGCCCTTGGCCTCCTGCTGTTGTCCCTCGAGGTTCTGTTCGCGACCGGCGTTCTTCAGGCCCTAGCGTCATCGTCAATACGCAACGCTTGCTACCATGTATAATTTGCGGCGAAACATACCTGGTGGCCGATGAGACCACCAACGGCTTCCTTGGCAGAGCCGATAGTCTGGTTCCAGGAACCGTCAGTTCGGTCGGCACTGTCCTTGGCGATGCCGCCGTCCGTCGTGATGCTGACGCCGCCAGCCTTGATGCCAGCCTTGGACTGCTCGTGTTCAACCTTGGCCTGGTCTTGAGCAACCTGGCCTTCCGCCTGCTGAGCGTTGTTGCCAGTCAGACTTCCGATAGCACTCTGCACGGCTCCAGTGGCGGAGTTAACGTAAGACTGGAGGGTCGAGGGGGTTTGTTGCTCGTTGGTTTGGTCAGACATGATGACGGTCTTGTTGTGTTTGTTGATTGCGAGTCAAGTGTAGAGAGGATGGAGGTAGAGTGAGTTTGGTAGTATCAAGAGTAGAGAAGTTGGGAAGTGGTTGATGCGAGAGGTAGAGAAACAAATGTGTAAGAGGAGAAGGGGCAGACAGCTTTATACTCTGTCGGATGTGTTCGACCCTGCTTCACGATGCCCCTCCTTCCCTGACAATTTTGATGGTCTGCGAGACGCTCCCCTAACATGTTGCAGTGGCCCTTCCAACCGCTTTCCCGCTGACATCCGTGGCTTCCCATCGTATCGTGGAAACAGCTCAGCGATTGATGTGGCGCATCTTTCGTAGTGATGATGTCATAGATGGTCTTTGAGGCAGGCAGGTGCCACATTGTGTGTCGTTGGTGGGGCTTGCCTGCTGTGGCTGGCACATCCAGAAACAAATAGAACGCCGCTGATGCAACTTCAAATCAAGGAATCCCAATTTTTTTTGTGCATGTTTGGTCCAGAGGACCACGCGTCAAATGAGCTGCTTTCTATGCGTATATGTGGTTGGTGCATTGGCCTGTGTTCGAAATGGGTCTTGAAACTGACGACCATTGTTGCCGCACGACGGCGATTGCATCTAGTTGCTGCAACGTAACAAAAACATGTTCTATAATTGAGTATGTGACGTCATGTGCACTTCGACTTTGGTCACCGTTGATATTGCATGTTCAAGGTCGCAAGTAGATGTATGTCATGCGCATCTTCAGTTGAACATTGACCGGTACGTCAAACCGAACCGCCCAGACTGTATTAGAGTATAGTAGAATCTACGAGCATCACTAGTATGAATACCATGGCGCAAACAAACGCGGCTCCAGCTGGTCATCGTGGGGTATCATCACAAAATCAAGCAAAACGCAAAATGCAAAACTGCCCACCCCGGGAAACCTCGCTACGGAGCCACAGACTGCAAAAACTCCAAAATAGCATCTGACAGCTGCTGCAGGCCCTTGTCCTCCAGCGGGTAGTGTCCTGCACCCTCGAGCTCGACAATCTTGACCGGCACCTTGCCGACCCTGCCCAGGACCAGCTTGCTAAGATGCAGCGGCGTCCACCGATCCTCCGCCGGCTGGGTCAGCAGGATGGGACACACATCAAACGCTTCGTACTCGAGCGCCGGCGCGTAGCCCGAGTAGGTGGCGAGGAAGCGCATCGACGCCGCCGACCCGGCCGACGACGCGTCCTTGAGAAAGACGCGGAGCGCCGCGGGCTCATTCACCAGCGCGCGCATCTTGCTCACCCACGCCATCGGCAGCCGCAGCGCGGACAGCCCCGCGGCGTTGGCGAGGCGGGCGAGCGGCACGCCCGCGCGCGCCACGACGGGGTGCAGCGCCGTCTCGTCGGCGACCTGCTGGATGCGCTGGTCCAGGAAGGTCATGCCGACGATGCCCGCCACCTGCCTGTTGCGCGCCGCCGCGTGGTACGTGAGCATGCCGCCGGCCGAGAGGCCGTAGAGCACAATGGGCCGCGTGTCGCCGCGCGCGCGCTCGTAGTCGACAAAGTCGCTCGCAATCTGCACCCACTCGTCGTACGCGTGCGGCCGGCCCGCCGCCGCCACGCGCGTGCAGCCGTAGCCCGGCATGTCCACCGCCACGAGCTCGTAGCCGGCCGCGTGCAGCGGCACGCCTAGTATCATGGACATTTGCCGCCCGTTGGTCCCCACGCCGTGGTGCAGCACCACGCGCACCTTGGCTGACGGGTTCGGCCACCGGTCGAGGTGGATCTCGTGACCCCGGTGCGACCAAAACTCCTCGACGGGCGAGTGCGCCGGCGTAAAGTGAAGACGGGCCGGTAGGAACTTCTGTATGTCCTTCCAGGCCTGCTGGTCGGCGTAGGTGGGGAGTTGAGTAGAAGCAGCCATGACGCAAGTTCGATAGGTTCTTCAGGCGCTGGACCAGTATTGAAGATTGAAGAGAATGATCAAGGTTGACACAGTTGAAACGGCGCGCGTGGGACCCAACGTCTAGTTATATCACGCGCGGCAGCCGCCAATTGGCGGATGCAATGACCGAGGTACTTTTTAAGTTTTGTCAAGATAAAACGGCCTGCATCGACTCCTCCTCTACGGCAGTCACAGCCAACGGCGATCATCCACTGCCGAGGCAGTGTGTGCGGGGCATTCCGTTGTAATGTTTTCATAGCAGTCAACATTTTATTGATAGCCGATTTTCCTTGCTCGCCTCTGCTCAGTTTGTACACTGCACCAATGTGCAGCCCGATGTGCTGTTTGACTGTTGCAATCTATAATAGTTACACTTGCTGGCACCCATGTCATAGGCAATCTCCATGTATTCGTGGCTTCGTGCCGTCCTGAAAGTTGATAACAAGAGGTATCATTATTGTACAATTCTTTATACACACGAGGTCCAGCCGTGTTTCTGCCAGTGTCGTGGCAACCTATGTTGGTCGTACCCATGTCTTCCCCCATACCTAATCTTTTCCCTTAGTGCTGACTCCATTGGATGGTGTCCAGATCGATGCCCTCCTGGACCAGCTCCCACAGCGGGCTAAGCTCGCGCAGGAAAGTAACACGCTCATCAACCGCCTTGAGCACGTAGTCGATCTCAGCCTCGGTAGTGAAACGGCCAATACCAAACCGGATACTGCTGTGAGCGCTTTCATCACTGTTTCCGAGAGCACGGAGAACATAGCTGGGCTCCAGAGAAGCCGAAGTGCAAGCACTACCCGAAGACAGGGCAATGTCCTTGAGCGCCATTAGCAGCGACTCACCCTCAACGTAAGCAAACGAGACATTGACGCAACCAGGGTAGAATGCGTTGGGGTCGCCATTTTGCGTCGTGTGTTCCATGGCGAGGAGTCCTGTGAGCAAGCGATCGGACATGGCCTTGATGCGCTTGGTGTCGTACTGTCGGCCGAATTAGCAGCTGCGCTTCGGATAGTGACCCAGATAACAACAAGTGTGGAACAATCAAAAATCAGATAGACGCTTCAATCAACAAGAAATGGCCTTGTCACAGGCCATTCAGAAAGCCATGCATGTAGAGCAACTCATCTCGTAGTTGAAAATAAACAAGTAAAAGAATCACGTACCTCCATTTCTTCCTTGGCGATGCGGCAAGCCTCACCAAAGCCGGCAACTAGAGGAGGTGCCAGAGTGCCGCTGCGTAGGCCTCGCTCCTGTCCACCACCAGTGATGAGCGGATCCAGACGCACACGAGGACGGCGACGGACGTAGCAGGCACCAATACCCTTGGGGCCGTAGATCTTATGCGAGGAGATCGACATCAGGTCAATGTTCATGGCGTTGACATCGAGTGGAATTTTGCCGACAGCCTGGGCAGCATCGGTGTGGAAGAAGATCTTGTTTGCACGGCACAGCTTGCCGATCTGTTCGATGGGCTGGATGACACCAATCTCGTTGTTGACTGTCATGATGCTGACAAGGGCAGTTTCAGGGCGAATGGCCGCCTTGAGCTCGTCCATGTTGATCAAGCCGTTGTTTTGGACCGGAAGATATGTGATTTCGAAGCCCTCATCCTGAAGATGTCTGCAGCTATCAAGTACGCACTTGTGCTCAGTCTGTGTCGTGATGATATGTCTCTTCTTGCCGGAGCGCCCAAAGAAGCGGGCAACGCCCTTAATACTCATATTGTTACTCTCCGTCGCACCGCTAGTAAAGATGATCTCCTTAGGGTCAGCGCCGATGAGGCTGGCGATATGTTCACGAGCTTCCTCGACAGCCTTCTCACTCTCCCAGCCGTAGGCGTGCGTCCGGGAGTGCGGATTACCGTATTCGCCAACGTAGTATGGAATCATGGCATCGAGGACTCTGGGATCAACAGGTGTCGTCGCTTGCATATCGAGATAGATTGGCCGTTGGCCTTCCTCCATAATGGCGGCGTCCTTGAGGACCTCTGCAAATTCACGTCAGCCTTTGAGCTCTCTGAGGGGATTCTGCGCGCGAGTCGACACGAACCTGCCATGGGGCTTATCTTCATCTCACTGCCATTTTGCATCATCGAAGGAGGAATGCCAGCAAAGTCCTTCTTGTCCAGCTTGATTGCTGTCTCGACTTGAGCGTTATTGGGCTTGGACCCGGTAACATATGTTCGCCTCCTGGCGCCGCCGATAATCGTAGCGGCACGAGCAGTGCCGTTGAGAGACACGCCAAGTGCCGAGTTACGACCCAGGCGGGCAGCCGAGCGCATCGCACACGATGAAAGGCTAGCCATTGTGATGTGGCGATTGTCTGGATGGATGTTCGTGACAAGATGAGGGAGCGGAGTTAGCTGGCACACTTTATTCTTTTATTGCGGATGGCAAATCTCGAGAAATTGTTAGGTCAGCTTCGGCTCGGGTTCGGGGATAAGTGGGTCATATTGTCGTTGTTCTGATTGGCCGTTCCGGAGAATTCTCTCAACCGATTGGGCGTGGAGATTCGCCTATGTACATGGATAAGTTCTGTGGCAGCACTGGGGCTGCATTTTGGGCGTGAATATCGGCAATTCAATAGCATGTAGCGAATGAAAGATTTTGGGTGTCATAACTAGAGACTATTCTCAGAAATTCTTGAGATAATACAACCATCAGAAGGCGCGACTTGGCCTTGTAGTACCTGTGCTTCACCAGCTGACGTACTGAACCTCTGCGCCCGCCCAGCAGGTAGGTTCACGCGCCACCAGCCCAGCACAGCCACGGCACTGTCGTCACTGATCCAGCTCTCGGCGGCAACGACTAACTAAGCCTGCTTCGCCGCTTTGATTCCCGCCCGCACCAGCCTTTCACAACCACTCCAACCACTTTGCGACAGCATCGTCGCTTGTGACGACGCCTTCGCTACCCACAACACATTGCTCAAACGTTCTTGCCTAGACAAATCGCCATAATGAGTTTCAAAGGCCTTTCCAAGAGCATGGTCCGAGTAAGCAACCCCTCCTGTGACGCAACGTGTAGCCCCTCCACGCGCAGTTTTCGACGGCATCGCGGCCGGTAGCTAATGCCGCACCACCACAGGCGCCACAACAGTTCAAGGCCAAGTTCAATATCGGCGAGCATACGAAGGATGCGGTTTACATGGATGCCGAGCGCCGATTCCAAGAACTCGAGACCGAGACCAAGAAGCTCCACATGGAATCGCAAAAGTACTTCAACGCTATCAATGGCATGCTCAATCACCAAATCGGGTTCAGCAAGGCTATGACGGAAATTTACAAGCCTATTTCTGGTCGCATGTCTGATCCAACTTCAATGAAAATCGAGGGAAACCCCGAGGGGATCGAGGCCTGCGAAGAGTACGAATCCATTGTCAAGGAGCTACAAGAAACGCTCGCGCCGGAGCTGGATATGATTGAGACTAGGGTTATCAGGCCAGCTACCGAGCTCCTCGAAGTCATCAAAGTCATTCGAAAGACGGCCCAGAAGCGCGATCACAAGCAGCTTGACTACGATCGCCGCCGCGCGGCCCTCAAGAAGCTACAAGACAAAAAGGAACGTTCCGCGAAGGACGAGAAGGCCATGTGGAAGGCAGAGGGTGATGTTGAACAGGCCACACAAGACTTCGAATACTTCAACTCGCTGTTGAAGGATGAGCTGCCCAAGCTCTTCCACCTAGAGGCTGAATTTATCCAGCCGCTATTCCAGTCGTTCTACTACATGCAGCTCAACATCTTCTACACCCTCCACGAGCGAATGCAGCGATGCGATATTGGATACTTCGATTTGAGTAGGGACATTGAGGAGGCCTTCCATGAGAAGCGCGGCGATATTCAAGAGCAGGTAGAGGCCCTTTCCATTGTTCGATTTAAGACGACTGGCCAGAGACGCCCGGTCAAGTACCAACCCAGACCGGCTTTGGAAGGAGGCAAGCAGCCAGCGCTTCTGACGTACGGCAACGATGCCTCTAGCTCGGCCTCGAAGCCTAGTCCGAGGGTCAGCGCTTACCAGCGACCAACTTCTACAGCATCTGGGAAGTCAGCCGCACCGCCTCCATATAGCGCTGGAAATTCTAGCATGGCTATGGTCGCTGCGGCCAAGTCCAAGCCACCACCACCACCAAAGCCAAAGCCCAGCCACTTGGCAGGCGCCAAGCAGACTGAAACAGTCACTGCCCTTTATGATTTCGCAGCTCAAGCAGATGGCGATCTCAGCTTCTCGGCCGGTGATGTCATCGAAATTGTACAAAAATCACAAAATGAGAACGAGTGGTGGACCGGCAAACTGCGCGGCAAGCAGGGCCAGTTCCCTGGTATGTGAAAATCGCAGCGTCAGTCCAACATTCAGCTAATCTCCATACAGGAAACTATGTTCAGTTGGGGTGAGGTGGGGATAATGCGCGTTGCAAGTTGGGCTTCATTGCATTTCACACCCAACTGGGTGTAAGCGAACTCGTGTCCGGAGAGGTCACGACCAGGTTTGAACTTAATAGATGGCGAGGTAACTGGCGCAAATCAATATTTAGTTTTTAGTAGGATAATATGCTGTATATCGCAGCAGAACAAAGATTCTCGATACTGCGACTTATGGCTTTGGCTTTGGCAACGTGACCGAGCCGTTCGCGCTCGCAGGCGATTACCAGCTAGATGAGGGGAACTGAGCCTGATCCCGGCTGGCGCACTTTCTTACGACACTTTTAGCTTAGCTTTCCCTCTACGATCGCCTGCGTCCCACTAACTAGGTACTAACCGGACGCCAACTTCCAGGCCATAACAACGCTCACAGTAATCTTCGTGGATACGGACAGTGCATATGGGGAACTGGTACTGCTTGTGCAGTGCCCGCACTGTGCGGACTCACCTTATAAATACACGGCTCTCACTGGCGTGGCCGCAGCCGTGTAAGGGAGCCGATGCAATCCTAGGGCATCTCTCACACACATATCGAACAAGTGCCTCTTGCTTGCTTGTTTGCGGACTATTTATTGCCCATTCTGCCCTCATCCAGCATGCTGAATCCCAATGTAGATTGGGCGGCGCCCTTTCAGACCGACCGGCTTCTGGAGATCCGGTCCTCTGGCAAGAAGAAGATGCCCGGGATTAACGCCATGTCCGGGATTGACAAGCAGCTTCATTCTTGCCCTGTCAAAGTCGGGAAACTTGGCATAGACGGTGACTGGCACGATTTGACCTTTCACGGCGGCCCGGACAAAGCCATTTTGGGTTGTAAGTCTTATTGTCTCCCCTACTCCCACGGGACTGTCAGGTGGCTCACACAAGTCTGGCAGACTGCTCTACTCATTACGCAGACTGGAGGAAGAGCTATCCCGAGCGCGCGGAAAAATTTGTGCCGGGCGGCTTTGGCGAGAATTTCGTGACAGCACACATGAATGAGAGAAATATATGCATTGGTGACATTATCCAGTTTGGCGACAGCGTACAGCTCCAGGTCTCGTTGCCGCGACAGCCCTGCTACAAGCTCAACCATCGCTTTTCACTAAAGAACTTTGCGCCAACGACATACAAGACGAGCCGCACCGGGTGGTACTACAGAGTCGTGCGCGAGGGAACGGTGTCTATTGGAGATGAAGTGCGCCTTGTTGAGCGCAAGTGGCCCGAGTGGACGATTGAAAGAATACAAGAATTCTTGCATCGCGATACCAATAATCACGAGATGAACGAGAAGCTGGCTGCCGTCGAAGCTTTGGGCGATGAGAGCCGCGGCATGTTTAAGAACCGTGTGGCCAAGGCCCTTCGCAAGGCGGAACCCAAAACCGAGGAGGTGTGGCGCAAATTCCGTGTTATCGAACGCAAGCAAGAAACGCCTCGAATCATCTCGCTCCAGCTTGATACAGAGGAGATCGACGAGGAGCTCCCGAAGACGCTTCTGGGAGCTCATGCTAGGCTGAAGCTAGGAAATGTAATCCGCACATACTCGGTCGTCTCTGGCGATGAAGCTGGGGTTGGTGTCGGCAATAAATTTGAGCTTGGCATTGCTCTCGAGGAGGATAGCCGCGGTGGCTCCAGATACATACACGAAAATGTCAAGGCAGGGGATATGATTGAAGTTGGGCGCATAACGACAGATGTCAAGCACGGCATGATGTCCAGCAACCACGTCTACATTGTTGGAGGCATTGGTATTACTGCCTTCATGGCTGTCATGAAGAAGGTGCATCAGATCAACTACAGTCTGGAGTTGCACTACGCGGTTCGCACAGCGCAAGAGGCAGCTTTCTTGGACAGAATGGAACCATTCCGAGACAGAGTCAAACTATACGACAAATCCAAGGGCGAGCGGATGGATATTCCAAAAATTGTCAAGACGCTGCCATGGAACAGCAAACTCTACGTTTGCGGCCCGCCCAGGATGATGGAGGCGGCTAGAGCGGCTGTCCGGGCGAACGGCCTGTCGCACGACGAAGTGCACTACGAAGCATTTACCGCCGATGTCTCTGGCGATCCATTCGAAGCTGTGGTAGCGAACAAGGGGGACAAGAAGATCAAGGTAGGCGAGGATGAGAGCTTGCTGGAAGCGCTGCGTCGCGAGTTCCCGGATGCGCCGTCGAGCTGCGAGGTTGGTAACTGCGGTACCTGCAAGATTGTGCTGAAGAAGGGCCAAGTCGATCACAGAGGCAGTGCGCTGGAGCCGGACGAGCAAAAAGGCCACATGTTGGCGTGTGTGAGCCGAGGCATGGGAAGCATCGTCGTGGAAGTGTAGTTGCCTTTGCATTGTTGAGGTTATTTAGAAACGATGGATATGCTTTTATATGCCGCGAACTGGATACGCACTGTCCTTGATGGCAGAGTGAGAGCTGTAGCAATTAATACGGTTGTCCTAGTAGTAAGTCAAAACCCTGTGATTTTTACTTTACTTTTGATCATAAAAATCCGTCCTGGAACATGAATAAGACAGCCGGAAGAGTACACAAACACCCAATTTGTTTTATACTGTAATGCCGGGTGCTCAGGATGACTTTTGAACTACTTACAGGGCGGAACGTACTTTTTTGAATCTATAATTTACTTGAGTTATTCATATAATTTTAATTGATATCAGTTTTCATTTTCAATAATACTATTCAAGCGACCGACCACCTAGGTGTTGGTGGTGTAGAGTGCTTATCGATAACAACATGGGCGCTTTTTTTCTGCGACTTGCAAGAACTTCTTGAACCACTCATTGTCACATCTCGCAACCACACTCCAAAAGTACTCGAACTCTTCGCAGCCGGAAAAATGGCGCCTATAGAACCGGCCAACGACCAGTTTGTGGTTTTGCCAATCCAGATGCCACCATGCCCATCCTTCCCCGAAGTCGCCGTCCACGAAGTCCGCATCCGACGAAATGCGCCCAAGATTGCCACGGCAAACGACTCGCGTAGCCTGTTCCTGAAGAACATTCCTGCCGATAGCACAGAACAACATTTTCGCGCCGTATTTATGCAACTCGTAGGCGCAGGCCGCTTCGAGGGCATCAGCTTCGAGGATGAGAGCGGTGCTTTGCATTCGATCGAGCCAGCCCAGGCCGTCAAGATAAATACGATGGCGAAGAAGCGCAAACGAGACGACATAGAGATGGAAGAGCAAGAAAAAGAGAGACAAGCGATACGACTCCCCGAGATTTGGACAAGAAGGGTACTACGCAGCAGCAGCACGGCTGTGGTGCTCCTCGCGGACGAGAAGAGCGTGCAGCTAGTTCTCAAGGCCATCGCCAAAGCAAACAAGTCCAAAAAATATCCGATTTGGGAAGACGGGCCATTGAGCGGTGTATCACCCCTTGGCGTGCCTTGGATATCATCGCACCTGCGAGACTCGCGTGTGGACAAGGCGGCTGCTCGCAGGTCGGTGCATGCCTTCTTCAACGCCTTTAACCGCAAGGAGAAGGAAGCCGCTGAGTTGGCCAAGAGACTGCGCAATGAGCCCGATGAGGATGGTTTCGTTACTGTTGCACGGGGTGGTCGCACAGCGCCGGCTAGCAAGTTTGAGGCTGAAGAGGCCAAGCGTCGCCAGGTGGACAAGGACACAAAGAAGAAGTCCGGAATGCAGGATTTCTACCGCTTCCAGCTGCGCGCGCGGCGCAAGGAGGAGCAGGCCGGTTTGATGAGGAGGTTCCAACAGGACAGGGAAAAGGTCAACGCGATGAAGGAGAAGCGCGGCAAATTCAGGCCCGAGGCGTGATGTCACCATCAAGGATGAACGAGTCCCAGGTATCACGTAAGTCACAATCTTCCTCTTCTACACACTGGACCGGGATGACGCCGCGGGGCCATCAGAGTGCAATCGGTTAGCTGCCGTTTGCCGTATGGTGAAGACAACCGCGTTACCAAAATCTTCTCAACTTGCCTGAATTGGTCCACTCATCGCTACTCTATCCACCACATCTTGAAGAAAAAAATCAGAAATACTTTACTGATCCTGTCGAAGGGATGTGCTCTTGCGCATATTTAGCTATATCGACGTTATTTCCCGGCACGTGGACGGCAGCACGGTTGACCACGAACAAAGCATGCACCATTTTCCAATGCGCGACATCTGCGCTACGGCGCACTGTAAATATCTGCAAAATGTATATAGAAAAACCAAGGCTAAAATATATCCCGAATTATTGTGCCCAGTTCTGTATCTCTGATTCTCTGTCGATCAACCCGGAGATCACGCTGAGCCAGTAATGTGGGGCGTACATCTTATTGTTTACTTTCCCCCACCCAGCAACGAATCCAAGCAAAAGCCTGCCATCTGCCAGCCGCCGAGAATATACCTGGTGATACACAAAAATACTGCGGTAGAGGCGATACGGCATATAATCCTTCCGTCAATCGTCGTCATGGCCGAAACGGAGAATCTGCGCACCGCTTCAGCGTACATCAACAACCAGCTCCTGTCGCGAGGGCTCCTGCGAGATGGGCAGACGATTGACTTTGCTGGCCATGGAAAGCGCGAAGACGCTTCAGTGACCGCTGGACGTATCATCAGCGTCGTAAACGACTTGATCCTGCGTCGCGACGTAAGAGTTTATAACTACACATTCTGGAGATTTTGCTGTATATTTTTCTAATCACGAATCCGAAGCGAGATGCCGATCACCGCGAGTCTCTATCTACAACGATGCGCTCACTGCGCGCCGAAAATACCAAACACGTTAGCGATATAGCCAAACTCGAAGAAAAGAACGCAGAAGCGCAGCGCAAACTCGAAATCGCCACGGCGGCCGAGAACGCCGCCAAGACACAGCTCAAGTCTGCCGAATCTACGATGCGCGGGCTCAGGGAGCAGCTCTCTCGGACCAAAGGGTTGGTTGCTCAAACCCGGACATCGTGTGCGACGGAGGTGCGCCGCCGAGACAGGCAAATCGATACGCTGAAGAAGCAGCTTGGCGAAGCGGGACGAGCCCGAGGTGCACGCGCGAACCCTGCGATTACGACTATTACCATTACCGGCAACTTTGACGAGGAGCCCCCTTCTCCCACCAAGACTGGTGGTATAATGAATGACGAATACAGCCTACGTGGTGAATCTACAGTGTCATTAGCCAAGTTGTCGCAGAGCTTGAGTGAGGAAAATGAGGCTGTCCTGGCGCTCATGTCACAGGCAATGGATGAGCTGCGGGAAATGAGCGGGTTGGAAGAAGGCAGGACGGAAAATACTCAAAACAACCGGCAAAAGAGCCTGGAAGACATGTCTACGGAGCTGGAGGATGTCATGGAACATATGCGTCACATCTTGAACAATCCGTCATTTGTCCCGATTGAGGAAGTTGTTATCCGCGAAGAGGAGATCAACCGCCTCAAGGATGGATGGGTGAAGATGGAGACTAGATGGAAGGATGCTATGCTTCTGATTGATGGATGGCATAGACGAATGGCTGCGGGCGGTAGCCCCATTCGAGAGGACGAGCTCAAACTTGGATTCCGCTTGGGATCTGTCAGATTAACAGGCACAAGAAGCCTTGTCGGCGACTCCACCCTGGCACCCCTCCCAGAGGAAAGTTATGACGAGGAGGAGCAAGCGCAGCACGCCGACGAAGATATATACGATCGCAGTGACGTCGAATCTGAGGGCTATAACGAGGAAGAAGCGGCTGTATACGACCACGAAGAAGTCGCATTGGATAGGGAAACGGAGGAGGCCCCGACAGAGGCGCCGATAGAGGAAATTCAACAAAATGTGGCCCAACAGGAGTCCGAAGTGCCTCGAGACGCGCACGAAACTCGAGAGCCACAAGTTGAAGCTGAAGACGCTGCTGTAGAAGATGTCTCTCGGGAATCGACACCGCTACCGGAGCAACCGCAGCTGAGTCCTCTCCGAAACTCGTCTTCAGCAGGCAACCGAGGATCTCAGCAAGCACAACCCGCCGTGACAATTAGGAGAAAGCAGCCCGAGACCACTTCCAGCAGCTCACTCCCGGCACCCGCCCAAAGACCACGCCCGGCATCTGGTGCATTGTATGTGCAGAAGCGAGGCCTTGAGCAGCCTGGCCGCCGGCCCACGCGAATTGCCACTCGAGCTCCCGAAGCCAGCCTCAACACCCGGCCAGCGACTAGAGTTACTTCACTGGAAGAAGCACTGTTGTCAAAGCCAGCACAAGCTCTCGAGTGGAGGATAAAGGAATCCACCGAGAAGCAACCAGCAACGACCACAGAAACGACGACACAACCAACGCAAGAGCCTACTCAGGAGTCCACGGAAGACGCACTACCCGAAACACGGCTACGCAAGACGACCACTTCAACAAACCGGCGTACTGTGGACCAGTCTACACCGTATAAGCGTTTCCCTCAGCCTGCAGAGCCAGTACCGCAGCAGAGCCCATTGACCATGTCCAACATCGCTGCTAAGCTTGCCGCCTCTGAGGCGAGTGCAGATCGTGTGCGTGCCAAAGTTCTGGCCGCAAGAAGCAGGTCTACCACTTTGAAACTGTCCAACAGTTTGCAGGACTTGAATGGCGTGGCACACGAGGAAGGTCTGGGCGCCGCTGGCGCTGAGAGCCAAACACGCGAGCAAGTCGATGACTTGGAAAACGTCGATCCGGCCAAGGCTGATCCGGAGCGTCCGGTACCAGAACAAGACAATGGTCATCGCAAAGTACAAAAGCGCAAGCGAGATATCCGCATATCGAGCAAGAGGACATCAAGACGGCGAAGTACACTGAGCCCGATGGAGCTGGAAACCCTCATTGCAGGAAATGGACAATAGAGACGTTTACCGTGATTTTGAGTTATTTTTCTTCTTTTTATATATACCAGTGCTTGTTCTTCTTGCATACATGGGGCGCGGCGGTAATGGGGTGATTTTGGAGTTTCTGTCATTGGAGAGAGGATACTTGTGGCATGGGAACACCAGAGGCCATATAGCGTATGCGTGACTATTAAATAACTCATTTTCACCAACATAGCGTGTGCCAATTGATCGATGTAGTCTGCAGGCATTATTAAAAGTACGTCTACTTGGACGAAGAACCTCACCCGGAACAGTTTTAGCGCCACGAGACATGCATTCGCAGCCGAGCTGCAGCTTCAATTATACACGCTCTCGCTTCATCCTAAGGACCGCGATGTGAATGGTTGGAAAACGCCACCGCTCGCGGGCCACTCTGTTGGGCGATGGAAGCACCCATTCACCGATGCTGCTTACGTCCACGGGTTCCACGCTCTTTTGACCTTTTGACGTAGGCTGAGACTACAGAGTACAAATAAAGTGGTGACTACGTTGGACACCATCAATGCTTCTTGACATGACGAGGCTGGCATGCACAACAGGGGGACGGGGGTTCGGATAAAAAGTCTGCTACCCCTCCTTTCGGAAAAAGAGCAGACAGCCTCAGGAGCAGTGTACACAAGCAAACACAAGCTACAAACATGAATATCCCAGGCACGGAAACAGTTCGGCGCACAGCAGCCCAGGAAGAGGAAGACGGGCGGGAGGTTTTGCAAAACCTGCTCGACAAAAAGTACAACGACTGGCCCAACGAAGCTGGTGTAAGTGGTATCCCACGTGCAGCTGTACAAATTGTGTATGTCAGGCGTTGACGAGGAGGGTGGGCATCTGCTGCCTGCTATAGTTTATCGGTCTTACGGAGCACCGAGGCCCGGTAACGCTGACAGTCCGCGGGACGATTCCCTCGTATGCTGCCGGCGCGCTGTACCGCACGGGGCCGGGTCTGGGCGAGGTCGAGACGGCCGAGCACGGGACGTACCGCGTGTCGCACTGGTTCGACGGCTTCGCGCACACGCACCGGTTCGACATTGCCGCGGCCGCGGATCAGCCAGGCGGCGCCTCGGCGACGGTGACTTACTCGTCGCGCCGGCAGGGCCAGGAGTACATTGACCGGCTCAAGAAGACGGGCTCGCGCGGGGGCATCACGTTTGCGCAGCGCAGCGACCCGTGCATCGGGCTGTTTGCCAAGATGACGAGCCGCTTCGACAAGGAGGTCAACAACAACGTCGTGGTGATGCGCAACGTGCCGGGCCTGGGTGGGAGCAGCACCGGGACGGCGGGCGGCCACCACGCGGCGACGACGAGCAACCTCGTGCTGACGACGGACAATGCGGTCCTGCAGGTGGTCGACGAGGACACGCTCGAGGCCGTCGGGGACGGCACGCAGGCGGAGTGCTTCCACCCGGCCCTCAAGGGCCCGCTGTCCCTGTCCCACGCGCAGCGCGACGACGAGACGGGCGACCTGTTCAACGTGAACCTCGAGCTCGGCCGCGTCCCGACGTACCGCTTCTTCCGCGTCAACGCGGCGTCGGGCACGACGGACATTCTCGCGACGGTGCGCGACAAGGACGTCTGCGCCGCGTACATTCACAGCTTCTTCATGACGCGCCGCTTCCTCGTGCTGTGCGTGCCGTCGTCGCACCTGGCGTGGTCCGGCGCCAAAATCCTGTGGACGGGCAACATCCTCGACGCGCTGAAACCGTTTGACGCGGCCGCGCCGTGCCGGTGGCTCGTTGTCGACCGGCGGGAGGGCCGGGGCGTGGTGGCGCGGTTCGCGACGCCCGCCGGCTTCTTCTTCCACTCGGTGAACGCGTTTGAGGAGACGACGGCGGCGCGCACGTACCTCAACCTCGACGCCATCCAGTTTGCGACGACGTCGACGCTGCACGGCCTGTACTACGACGTCATGCTGCGGCGCGACGGCGCGGCCGATGCCTTTTGGGCGGACCGGGATATCGCCGCGTCGGTGCGCCCGCGGTTCGTGCGGCGGCGGTTCGCACTGCCCGCGACGCCGCAGACAGCCGCGGAGAGGGCGGCGGCGACGGCGCCCGAGGTGCTGTCCAT